CGGGATCCCGTCCGCTCTCCCATAGACAAGCTGATGAGGGCCAGATTAGTAGTTGAGTCGGTGACGATCAGCGAATACCTGGTGTTGTATGTTTCTTTTTTCTTATTTGGTGTCTTGTCAGTGTCAGGTCTACTCACGATTGTTTGCCCCGGGGAAGTAGAGCGAGATTGTACAAGATATTGAATAGCAATCCGAATACATCGACATTTTCAATCTAGAATCAACGTGTAGAAGTTGAGGGTGTGAGAAGCGAAACCTGTCTTTGTTGTCTCAATGGGTGCATGCGGTAGCAAGATACCTGTACCTTATACCTACCTTACAGTAAGGTACCTTAGGTAGCGAGGTTATCGTCGTATAATAATTGGGGAATCGGTTACATAATCATCGAGATGCAGCAATGTGGCCTGTGCCCCTGAAGAGACGGCAGAACCTTGCAATTTTGCAGGGCTTGATGCCTGACAGCCTCACACCCTCTTTGGCCATGTCTAATTGGACAAGTGGCTGGCGGCAAGAGCAGGACACCTGTGGTCGTTTCACTGTTCAGTCAGTTTTTGGGGAAAGCTCGAGTCACACAGCACAGCACAGCACCTGCCCTGTGGGCTGTGGCCGCAGGAGCCACCTCCCGCAGTAAAGCCAGGTACGTGCCTTGAAGTCTGAACAGTGGAAGGAACCCCGGGCAGTCAGACTCAAAGAAAGAAGCACCGCTTCTGATTCCACCTATCTTTACAGTGAATACATGCCTGCCCTGCCTCTCACTCCCTCTACCCGTGCTGTTGGCCCGAATTGAAGTCGAAATCTTTGCTGCCACCTCTATAGCCAAACTGCCATTTTCACCCAACTAAGTTTTCTCTTGTTTATTGTTGGGGGAATAATTCCTACTTCATCAAAGGCAGCCTTTCAAGTTTCAACCATCCCAGCACGTAGTTTCTCCGCGCCCTCGACTCGGCCAATTGCGTTTGACAGAGTGTACTTCCCATCCGCTGCGCGGTACATGGACTCTTCCACTCCAAAGTACCTTACCTCAGCCCTTTCAGGTACACCCGACCGTCCAGAGTACTCCGTACAGAACAGACAAACGCCGACGCGACGACAGCAAAGCTCCAATTGAATCGACCAGGGGTGTCAACGCCAACACCACAAGCACAGCTCCGACCACCGCTTTAGGGGTTTTGGACCTGGATTTGGATTGACAACCACCTTGTTCCCACCTCACGACGACACGGCACCACGACTACGACGGCAAAGACCGCTGCGCCAGCTCCTCGACGAGTCGCCGCCGATACCTTTTTGACCTTTTTGCTCGTCTGATGTAAGGACGACGCACCATCATCACCTCGAGACGATACCAAGGCGCGCAGACTACTGCGCCTAGCGGGACGATCCGTGAGAAGGAACCCATCCCGACACCCGTAACGACCACCGACGAGACGATTCCCGCACCTCGCATCTACCTCCTCCCAAATTCGACAGCAGTGCTGAGCTGCCCGTTGGGGACCAGTCCCCCCTTGCGCGCGTATGAGCTGGCAGGTGGTTCCGGGTATGGGGTCGAACGTAGGCAACGGCATGGGCGGGCCTGGAGGAAACGAGATGGGCGGCGCGATGCAGGGCAACGGCGGCAACCAGCCCCATGCGACCGAGTATACGCTGCAGGGTACGTTTCTTAACGCGAACATTGAGTCCCTCCATCATTTTATACTGACCGCAATGCGTCACAGGTGTTATGCGCTTCCTCCAAACCGAATGGCACCGCCACGAGCGGGACAGGAATGCTTGGGAGATTGACCGCCAGGAGATGAAGGCTAGGATAGCTTCCCTCGAAGGCCAGGCAAGAAGGGCCGACGCAACTCAAAAGGCACTTAAGAAATACGTCGCCATTCTCGAAAAGAAGGTTAAAGACCAGGCTGCACAGCTCAAGGGCGCTGCCAAAGCAGGCGAGGACGCTGCAAAGGCTGAAAAGGATCGCGCTGCCCTGGTCCAGGAGAAGCTGCGGCGTGAGTTTTCACTCCTTGCCATTATCGATGCCGAAGCAACAGCTAACATATTTATACAGCTTCCTCCAAGAAGCCATTCGATGCCCATGGTGGCGAGCTCGATGTCGATAAAGCCGACGATGAATCGCAAAGAGCCGACCTCAAGTCTTTCCTGGATCAGTGCCAGGCCGAGTTCACCTATCTGATGATTACCCCGGCGAATCCTCTGCCTCCGCGAGATTCACCCCCTCTCCCGATACTCGAAGACTTGCGCGAAGGCGAGCCGTTCGGCGTGCCTGGTGGTAAGCCATTCCAGGAGCCGCCCTTCCCCTTTGCCTCATCGTCTCTTGTGCCTCAAAACCATGTCCGCGAAGCCAACCGCCCACCTCCCGCCCCGAACCATGCACCCCCGATGCAGCGAAGCCAACCAACGAGTTTCCAAGTCAAACCTGTCGAACAGCAACAGCAACTACAGCAGCAGCAACAGCAGCAGCATCAACCACAACAACAGCACCAGCAGCAAATGCCACCTCCCGCACAAGAATCTGCGCCTCCTGTCATGTATGCCGCTGGCACCGAATGGCCTCAGCCAATGTCGTCGACTGGCCGTATGCTCGACGACAATATGCAACGTCCCAGCCATGCCGTCGAGTCTATCAGTAGCGTTGAACCAACGGAAGAGTCTCAACCTAGCCGCCCTGCCCCTGAAACCGACGGTTGGGATTTCTCCGACGGATCGTTCGCCGATGCCAACTCGTCGCAATCTCTACAGCACATCACCAATAGATCCGATACCGATGCATTCCCCACCGCAGATAATCTTCCAAAGTCGCCCAATCGTGGACCGAGCTCCCATCGCCGCAAAGGTTCAATGTCGCGGAGACGCAGCGCAGACCATGAGCTATCATTGAACTCGGCTGCTCAAAAGGCCGAGACGGGCAATTTCAAACTGCGCTTCGGACTACGAGGCCATCTGGACACTGTACGCACCGTCATCTTCTCCGGCGGTGGCAGTCCTGGCGAACCCGAGATCTGCACAGCAGGCGACGATGGCATGATCAAGCGGTTCCACATTCCCCGTGCCGATAACCATGGCCAGACCAATGCTGCGTCGGATCTCGACGTGACAGCTAACTTCTCTCATCGTGGCCACGCCGGAGGCGTGCTCTGTCTGACGTCTTGGTCACCTTCGCCAAACTTCTCCACCGGTGGTCGCGCCCAAGGTGACGGCTGGATCTTTTCCGGCGGTCAGGACGCTACCATCAGGGTATGGGAACGTGGAAGAGTCGACCCCAAAGCTACCCTCGAGGGCCACACCGACGCCGTCTGGGCATTGTGCGTGCTGCCGACCACATTGGGCGCAGTCTTTGGTCAGAACAGCCAATACGGAAGCCCCGATCGCATACTTCTCGTGTCTGGCGGCGCTGATGGATCTGTCCGTCTGTGGTCCGTCAGCGCACCGCCTCAATTGACATCGCCTCAGCCTGGAACGAACAGAGCTGGTCCGACGGGCAGCAGAGGCCGCGTCCGCGGTAACTCGATGAGTTCGGGAAGTGCTTTCTCGAGCACCCCGCAGCCCAACATGGCATCAAGCTCCCCCTTCAACCACACACTCGTCCACAACATTAAGAGGCCGGATGGCTCTGACGCCAGCCCTACATGCATCACTTCCCTCAGCCCTAGCGGCGACACGTTTGTCGTCTCTTACTCTGACGCAGCCATTCTCGTCTACGATACCCGGACAGGTGAACAGACTGGCACAATGGACAGCTCTGAGACATACGACGGTTCAATCAACACCAGTGTCAACGCTGTGGTTGCAACAACAGTTGGTTTGGAACAACCTCAGGGCGGGTTGTCTGAGGAAGATGGCAGTGCCGGTGGTGGACCAACCGGTGGTGGAGGCAGATCCATGGCAGGATCTGGGGTCGAAGGCGTCATTATTTCTGGACACGAGGACCGGTTCGTCCGCTTTTTCGATGCCAACAGCGGTAAGTCACAAAAGTTGAATGCATGTGAGGAGGATGTGCTAATTGAATGCCCAGGCCAATGCACCTACAACATGCTGGCCCATCCGGCATCGATTTCGGGCCTTTCACTTAGTCCAGACGGTCGCGAGCTTGTCAGCGCAGGCCATGATGCCTCATTGCGGTTCTGGAGTCTTGAGAAGCGATCCTGCACCCAGGAGATTACGAGTCACCGCATCATGCGTGGTGAGGGCGTCTGCTCTGTCGTGTGGAGTCAAGACGGCAAGTGGGTTGTCAGCGGTGGCGGAGATGGCGTGGTGAAGGTTTTTGCGCGGTAGACGGTGAAGGTTTTGGTTGAGTGAGGAAGAGACAGAAGGGGAGAGAGAGAAAGGGAGAGGGAGGGGAAGAAGTGAGGGAGGAAAGAAAATATACAACAGCAGCAGCAGCAGCAGCAGCAGCAGCAGCAGCAGCAGCAGCATAGCGTCCGTTGAAATGGCGTCGTCTTTGGGTCATTACTTGCTATGGGATGGATGTCTGAAAAGATGGTCTGCTCTCCGAGCTGATTGTGCCCGGGCATGAGAGAAGACGAAGAGGGTGTTCTAGGACTTTGTTTCAACTTGTTTTTTGGGCATGAAGTATAAGACTCTAGGGGCTTTTGGCTGCAGCAGTGGGCTCGCGGGCCAGATAAGGAAAAAGACAGAAAACGAGGGGATGAATGGAATAGGATAAGGGGGCGTGGACCGGCGCGGCCGACCCGCGTCCTGTTGTAATATTGTACTGGGGCATCATTATTGTTCATCACACGTCGATACCCTTACACTTCACCAACCAGCCCGACAAAACCGACCGACCTACCCCTTGCTTGCCTGTTGTTTGGTGGACTCTGGACAGTGGTCTCTGTTTCTACGTACATAGCTTTATTTCTTTTTGTTACAGGTGAAGAAAATAGATGATTGTATGATTCTGGGTATTAAGAATGCTATGAAAAAACCAAAGTTGCCGTCGCTGCTGTGTAGTAGGAAGGTCTGCTGACTGAGAACCTAAGAAGAACATGTACATGGGGCTAGAATTCCAGCTCCTCGACCTCCATACCACATCCATTACACTTCTTCACCGTCATACCCTCCTCGTTCTCCACCGCTCGTCCCCAATCGTGAACGTGCTTGCCACCGCCAACCGAGTCTCCAAACTTTCTCGGTCCCGCGCCGGCGGCCGTGGTGGCCTGCTGTCTGCGAATGGCCTCGGTCCTGGTCTTTCGCTTGAGGTCGTTGAGCTTGTCCCTGAACTTGGCCTCCTTGCGCCTCTTCTTGTCGGCCTCGCGCTTGGCGAACTCGGCGTCGAGCTTCTCGGCGGAGCCCCATTTCGTGGTGAAGGCGTACTCTTCGACCTGCATCCGGAGGAACAGCATCATGTCGTGCCAGTGCGACTTGTGCGGGTTCGGTCGGGAGAGGTGGGGGAGGAGATCGGCGTCTTTGAGTTCCTCGTCGGTGAGGAGGTAGTCCTCTTTACATTCCGTCTTTGTGAGGAGCGAGTATTTGTCGGGCAGCTTGTCCTTGCAGGCGTGGCAGACCTGGATACCAAAGATCTCGTCCCAGACAAAGTCGATTTCGTACGAGGAGCAGTCGGCGCACTTCTTGCGCATGGTGGCGTCGGCGAGGACGCTGAGGCCCGGCTCAAAGGGTCCCGCTTTCTGCCGGCGGAGTTTCTTGAGGAGCTGGAGGCGTTCCCATTCCTGCGAGGACATGCCTTTCGGTTTCTCTTCCTGGGGCGGGCCGCCCGGTTTTGCTTTGGGGACGAGGGCCGTGTTGTGCGGGTCGTCTTCTGCGGTGAGGAAGCCGCCTTTTGTATCCGTCATGGCGGACATGTTGTAGTCGACGAATTTGGCAAAGTTGCGCGCCGGGCGCGGGGCGGCGTTTGTGTCGCGGGCATCGCGGTTCGTTGAGGGGTGTGATTCTGCTGCTGCTGCTGCTGCTGCAGGATTTGTCGTCGAGATGGAAGAGTGTGGGCGTTTGCGGGAAATGTCTGTCGCTTGGGAGGCGCCGGCGTTGGTGATGTGAACGTCGTTGGTGGCTACGAAGCCCGAGGCGGTTTTGGGAGTCGGGATTGCGCCTGAGGCGGCAAGTTCGGCATCGCGGCGGTCGCGGATTGCTTTTGCTTTGAGGCGAGATTCTTCCTGTGGGAAGGAAAGTCAATTAGTCCTGGGGAGGTCCGAGTAAAATCGAGGCTTGAGGATTCATTCACTCACCATGCGACGGATTGCTGCTGGTGTTGGAGGGGTTCTGGCGGGTAGCGGCGCCGTTGCCGGGTTTGGCGGTGGCGTTGAGGGACGCACCATTGCGATTGTCTGTTGGGAAAACAATTCGGAGTATCTAAAGCGTCGTGGTGGTGTAGACAGAGGGTTGGGTATGGAGGATGCAAGTGGGAGGCGTGAATCTGCGTGCGCGCGGAGGGGCAACTTTTTGGAGAAAACGATTATGTCACTACGGAAATCGCGAACGCACGTGCCTTGCCGCCATGACCGAGCCATACCGAAGTGACAGGAGGGAACGGAACTGGCGGAGCTGTCAGACACGAATTGGAGCTAATATAGAGAGGCTACAGAGTTTGATGTCAGGTACGGATAGTATGCTACAAGACATTCATGGTAGGTAGGGAATGGCGAGAACGAACAGAGCGCGGATTAATGAGCTGTATCTTGATGAGACTAAGCATCTACGCGACCAATACGGAGTTGTGCCACTCCGATTTCGAGAGAGTCGCACCATCTTGGAAAATCTACTTCCCAGCCGTGAGAGCGTATCCCCCGTATTGCCTCCAGGTAGGTACGGTAAAATATACGACCACCCCTTGTGCGCAACCAAAAATGTCTCCTGTATAACCAATGGTGACACCCTATTTTGATTTTGTATTTTATTCACTGTCCGACTGTCCGTTTTCCCCCAAGCACCAACTACGACGGGCGACGAGAGCGAGCAGATATTTACTCCTCCTTGGCACCACCGCGGCCGGCACGCTCGGCAGTCTCAATGGCCTTCTTGTCGCTAGCAGCGGGGCCGCTCTGGAGACCCTGCATGAAGCCGGCGGGAGCCTTGAAAGGACGCTTGAGGTCGCCGGCGGCGGGCTGGCCAAAGACGTGGATCTTGACGAGGTTGCTCTCGAGGGCGCTCTTGAGGGGGATGATGGACTGGATCAGGAGGGGGTTGGTGTACTTCATGTAGATGTGCATGAAGGCCATCATGGCAATTCCCATGGCCTGGGAACGGAAGGCCTGGCGGAGCTGGGTGGTGTCGTAGGCGTGGATGGTGGTGGTGACAAGCTTGCCCTCCTCGGCGGATCCCATCGCTGGTGGCTCGACGTACTTGAGCGTGGTAAGGTCTACTGCCTGTCAGCGACTGCTTCGATAACCCTGTACAATGCACGAAATGAACGCACCCTTCTTCTTGTTAATCTGGGCCTGGACGTAGAGGTAGATGATGGCGATGATGATGTTGCTGGCAATGTAGCCGGCGCGGCACATGTTCAGGACGTTGGGGTCTTCGAAGGGGACCTTGCGGGAGACCTGCACCATGCCGAGCATGATGATCAGGTTGGTGCTGCAGCATTATCAGTAAGGTATTCGACTTCGTTGCTGAAGGCGCGCAAGAAAACATTGAAATCAGAGATTTGCAATGCGGTTCGGTGCGACAGAGGGAAACGGAGAGGAGGCAACGTACATCTGGGGGCTGACCATTTTGGCGGTTTGCGACGGAACTGATGGTATTTGACTGGGGAAGAATTGGAAACAAGGACGAGGGCAGCAAAGAACCTAGAGGTCGCGAGAGAGTGGGAGGGCTGGCTGGTTTATTAAGAGGAGAGCAGAGGAGGAGGCTGGCTGGATGCAAAGGCGAAGACGGCGCGGCGTGGAGTTGGCGAGTTTTTGTACGGATTAGCGCGTGAGGGCGAGGGCGTCTTTGGGGGGCGATGGAGAAGAAACTCGGAGAGGGTGAGGTGGTCGAAACGGCGCCCGTCCGGTGGGTTGGTTGTGTGTGGCCTGGCTGGGGGGTGGAGGTGGAGGAACCTGAACAAGGTACCTTTTTAGTGCGCAGCACTGCAATTAAGGTGGTGGTCTCCTGGAGAGGTACCTCCTTGCCTACTGCAGACGTGTGCTAAGTTCGGGGTCCAGCGGGCTGCGGGATGGCGAATTGCAAAATGGCACAATTTTTAGTCCAAAGCTCTGTCAGTTTCTGTAGCATTCCGCTGCACTCTTTTTGGTCTGTTCAGGGTCATGCAAGGGTGTCTGCGCATGCGTGTGTTGCCTGTATCTGAGCCTCAACTCTGTCACATGGCTCAAGGTATCTCTTTAACTCTTGTTCCAATAATATTGGATCTCGGATATCATTCTGTCTATTTATTTGCCTCTCTATCGTCTCCGTTGAGGCACATGATGCAAGACGGCACATTGCAACTTTTGGGTTGTCTGCAGCTAAGGAAAGGTGCTCAGACTAATACATAAACTGCCCAAGGCAATCTGCCATGCATTCAGTGGCTGGGAACTTGGAGAAAACGCCACTGAATTTTGAATTCTGACAAGTCTGATTCCCCGCGTTTGCTCTTGAGTTATGGTCAAATTTGCGAGGCTCTTGTAAATTGCGGGCTCTATTGATTTGCGAGTTCTGGGCTCTTGTTTTACCAGTTGCAGTCTCGGACTACGACACCAACACCAACAACAACAAGGTGAGAGGACACGTTCGTAAATTGCAACGTGGGGAATCCTGTCAGATATATCCACCACCTGCCTGATTGAGACAGCTCCCTTTTTGCCTCATCTTACAGCTGAGATTTGGTCATGCAACACTGATAATCAACCGAAAACTAGCATCAGATATCTCTTACCTATCGCTTCGTGACTAACAAGTACCTGACTTCCAATTGCCTCAATCATCAGTTGTTATTTGTCGTAAAATCCAGTCACAAACTCACAAATATTGCAGTATCACTACAACTGTAACGGCAAATACGAATGAAAACTGGGCTTTTCATATTCCAGATATGTACACCAGGGGCCAGGATACCCACGATCAATATCTACATTGAGAATTTCATCAGACTTCAGCACCCATGTCCGCGGACAGGCACTTGAGTCTTCGGCAACAACGCCGCCATGAAAATCACGTGGCGCCGGCCGCAAGCTCCACTTCCGCCGATACGCACTCCACCAAAGGTACGTATCCACCCCGATGTCCGGAATAACCTCAAATGAAGCTCTTGAGGATCGGGAGGTAAGTTCCGTACGCCTTTCCAGTCGTGGGCTCCATGGAGTACATGTAGTCCGCCCACCAAGGTCCAGCTGCCCACCAGAGCACCTATGGTTTCGATTGTTAGCGGCGTTCAGAACAAGAGAAAATGGCTGAAAACAGGAAACACTTACACCTCTCCACTGCTCAGAGTTATCAGCAAGGTGCTGGATGGCACCCTTGACGGCAGTCTCGCACTGGGTGTTGACACCGGCGCCAATCTCGCCGAGAACACCCTGCTTGTTGTTGTCCTTGAGCCACTTCGTGGCAACGGCGAGACGCTCGGCGCCAATGGTGCTGCTGACGCAGGCCTCGTTGGTGCCGGAGCCGTCCGTGTCGAGGTACTGGTGCATCTCGTAGAAGAGAAGCTTGCCAGTCGAGTCGGACGGGTCCGTGAGGTTCTTGAGGGCGTCGCCGGAGCCGCTCTCGATCCAGTGCCACGCGCCAGAGTACGAGTTGCCCTCGATGAAGATGTTCTGCTTCGTGGCGCCCGCCGCGCGGATGTTGGTGATGGCGGCCTGGTTTAGGTCGTGGACGAGCGTGTTGTCCATGTCGTGGTACTCGTTGTTGGTGTCAAAGATGACCTTGTCGTTGTCCTTGAAACGGGCGGCGACCGTCTTCCACCACGCTCCAAAGTCAGCAGAGCTGGTGATGATGTTGCCGTAGTAGCGGCCGTAGTTGTGGGGGTCGATGACGGCGTAGGATCCCTTGGAGGTGACGTCCTTGACGAGCTGCAGTCAAAGTTTCAGCATACGATATCTCCATCATCACACAGGCTGCACAAAAGACTTACATCCTCAAGACCAGAGAAGTAGGTCTCATTGATCGTGCCAGTCAACTTGTCAGGAATGATACGCTCCATCATCGTTCCGATACGGAAAGTGTTCAGGCCCTGGGCTCTAAGGGTCTACAACCACGAAGTCAGCTACCATACGGCATCGTCGTGTTTTTGTTGCTCACATCAATGGCAGTCTTGTTAGGCCATGTGTACTCCTTGCCCAGCTGTCCGGGGAGAGTACCCTGACCGAACTCGCCACCGCTCTCGTTGACACCGGTGAAGAGAAACTTGCCCGCGCGCTTCTCCTTGGCGCCGTCAATGGGGGCCGCCAGGACCGATGCGACGGACGCAGCTCCGAGAGCAATGTTGGAAAACTTCATGATTCTTGATCAAAGAAAGGAACGAAAAGGGTTAGACTAGAAAAGAAGGTAAAAAGGTCGGATGCAGTTCAAGCAAAAGCCAAGACCGACCCCAGAGTGGCTCCGAGGCATGGCAGACTTTATATCCTCGTGGCCAGGACCCTCTCTCTCTCAGTCTCTCTCCTCTCTTTCGTCTCCTCTTTCGTCTCCTCTCTCTTCCGTCCCTCGTTTACAGTTTAGGGGGTGGGAACCTGGGACGGAATGGCAAAGACGGTACCGAACATAGTGGACTGTCGACAGGAAAAGTTGCCTGTTGCGAACGTTTGGGTAAGAATTACCAGGCCACCCCCCTACAACATCGTGACGGAGTCCCTTGCTCCGTCCCATGTATAATGGCAAAACACCACACGATTTGTGGGAAAAGAGGGAACGCAATCAACGAGGGGGGGCCGGTCACTTTGCTTCTCAAAGTCTAGTCTGGACACTCTGGAGCCCGTGGAAGCGGCGAGCCTCACCAAACTAAGCCTGCTTGGCATGGATGATGTGCCGTGTGGGGTAGTCCCCGGTAGGGAAGAGCACGATCTCGGGACCTGGACCTCCTAGTGCTGGTCGTGCTGGACCTCCTGGGACCTTGCAGGCTCCAAACTGTGGTTCATGGTTACGTTGATGCCGAGAGTGCCGAGGAATGCGGCTGCTTCGTACTGTCCTACAGTTGGGAAGCTTTTTTGTTTGCCGCCTGGGTTAGATTGCGCGCAGGTCTAGTCTGAAGTTGTTTGGATAGACGGCATCATCATCGAAAGGGGGCCTGGGATAATCTGGCAGGTAGTCGAGTGGCGGAGGGTGACATGCTCCGGTATTTGCGCAAATTTCCCGCGGGTGACAAGTGCCGGCATGAGAGACAAGAAAAGCAAAGTGCGACGCAACAGTACATAGGCAGAAAGAGACTGACAAGTCGAACTCGCGGCTCGCTAACAGGCTTTGAGGTGTCGTTGGTCCCAAAGGGGGGGAATAAAGTTGGCTGTTTCAAGTCGCCGGGGGAATTCCCTCCGCGTGGTCACTGGTATAGCACCTGGAATTAAGGGATCGCCAAACCCCACATTGATCATCAAGATGGGACTTGAGGGCTGCGAGGGGGCCAAACTGAGCCGCGAACTCGGGACGACGGCGCGAGAAGGTTACATATAGAGGATGTGGCTGTTCAAGGAGACGGCTGGAAGAGAAAGGAGAGGTAGGCTTAGAGTGCAATGACGTGATAAGAGCGACATGAGATCAGAGGAATAAGCCGTTCAAGCTAGAATCGTTAAACTTATGGCCAGCGGACCTCTCTCTCAGTATGTAGACTTTGGGAATTATCGGCCAGCAGGGAGATCCTTGGGTCACAGCAATACTGACAAAGTTTGGACTGAGTCGTTTCAACAGAGTTCGCGGTTCAGGAAACAAGTTGACTGATAGCTCTGCACACTCTGCTTTACCGTCGCCATTGCCGTCTGAAACAGCGTGGAACGGCCGTCCGAGCGTGCGCTGAGATGCCGAATAAAATAGTACAAAGGCTACAATTCGAAAGCCCTCTTCAACGTTGCAACATTGATAGCTTCATGCCAGACTTGCAATCATTTGGAGAGTTCAGATAGAGGAAAGAATTTACAGGACTGAATTCAGTAGCTTTACTGCGGTAGCTCAAGTTACGCCCATCAGTGACGTTGGTCGAGATGCACAGAAGTTACCGCTGAGTCCAATGAGCCGTGATTAGCTAAGCCGACACTCTGACGTCGGGTCCGAAGCACGGAGCATCGGTCATTCACGTGACCCAGCCAAATTCTGGAAGCTCGGAAATTCTTCCCGCGTGTCATCGCGACAGCCCAGAAGTGACTTGGAGGTGGAAGTAGATACCAATCCCAGAATATCGCAAAAGGAGTCGCCAAAATGCAGCCAACACGACACCTCCTGAAGCGATCCGTGTGGAAAGGTAAGTTTCGAATATGTTATGCTGAAATGAAGGTGGTGGTGAACTGACAGCTCTTTTCTAGGACCTCACATCGTCCCGTAAGGGCTCCCTCCCCCTATGCGAACACCCCTCGATCGAACCACTTTCAAATCTAACATTGACGCAAACAGTCTCCCCATCGTGCGCCCCGCCCCCGGACAGAAGGTTGTGCCCATCCGGACGCAAGCCCGTTCCGCGACGATCCTGCCCAACTTTGTCGGCCTCAAGTTCCAGGTCTACAACGGCAAGGCATACATTGACGTTACGATTACGGAAGACATGGTCGGTCACAAGCTGGGAGAATTCTCGCCGTACGTTGGAATCGATCTTGGAATATTGAGGTTCTTGGAGCTAATTGTTGGCAGGACGAGAAAACCCTTCATCTGGTCCAGGATGTAAGAGGCGGCGATGGTCTAGGGATTTCAAAAGTTTATCAGCGTGCGGATGGCGTCTCCGTCAGGGTCAAGGAGTGGAGGAAACATTTGTACAACACTGTCAAGATACCAGCGATATACTGTAGCATAAGAATTTGGGGCCTTGTGCCGTTGACGATCCTCTGCTAGCCGAATGGATGTCCATATCATAACACTTCGAGCACCTCTAACGTAGTGCTCGTCAAAGCCGGACCTCCCTGTCATGTAAACCCCCGTTGACGCCATACCCAAGCCCGTCCAACGCCGTGGTATATGTACACCAGCCCGAAAAATAAAAATAAAAATGGCAGCTCCAAGCTGCTCTGACGAACCCCCTTATCGATAAAATTCACTTCTTTTGACGTTGACTCCGTACTCGCCGACTGCCATGCCAAGGTCCTCCATGGTAAGAACGGTCCTGTTCTGGCTGCCGCCCTGTCCACCGCCGCCGTAGCCTGGTCTCTGGATACCAAGAGGGCCTCCGCGACTCTGGTCCTTTGCGCCGGCTGGTCCTGTGGGTTGGCCCGGGATGGGGAATCCCGCCGCGGCACCGAGGTTGCCCATGGGGTTATTGGCGTTGGAGTTTGAGGCGCGGATGCGGCTGTACTGATATGCGTCGGCAGAGATATCGGCAATGAACTTTTGCGTTGCGAGAGCGAGCAGGCGCGCCAGGCGCGGGTCGGTCTGCGGTGGTGGGGGGAGACCGGCCTTGGTCATGTAGTAGTTTGTGACTGCGTCGGGGATCTAAGCAGGTGAAAGCTGTCAGCCAATATTCATTTCCCTACAGATTGGTTTCGAGACATACAATGGGGGCGTAGTCGTCCATCTTGGTCAGGAACTCGCGGAGAGACATGTCTTTGCGGGTGATGGCCTTGGGCTCTGGGCCGGGCGCGACTGCCTCGGGGACAGCCGCGGCGTCAACTGGGGCGGCGGCGGCATCGGTTGTCGTTTCTTGCGTGTTGGGAGCGGTGGGTACCTGTTCGGCAGTCTCTGGTGCGGTGGTCGACATTGTGATCGCGGCAAGTGAAGAGCAGAGGTGTTGGTGATAATGCCGGATAATATGAAGTCGAGTCACAGGCGCGTTGTACCACAAGGCTGATGAGGCTGGTGATGTAAGGTCCAGGCGCCTTGCGAGAGACGCGGGAGTGGCGTCGATATCACGTGCCCAACAGCTGAGCCCACGGTCCACCTCAGGTGTGCAGCGGGCCTCACCTCCTCCTCACCTTTGCGGTTCTCCACATTCAAGGTCAGCAACCTCTAATAGGTACGTATCCGTACATAGGGAGTATGGTCTGTGCATTCGAGTTCCAGCATCTTATTTAAGCTTCAACAGGGGTGCCACGCCAATCATGGTGTTAGAGGCCTCAAGGTGACTGTCACGGAGTCATTAATATTACGGGCAAATGAAAGGCATTTTAAGCATCCAACTACGCCGTACTCACTGATTGTGAAGACGGGCCGACACATTCGTTCCCTCTTCATAAATTGGCACCTCCCTCAATCATAAAATTCAAGATCATGGCCACCTGATATTGAAGACTTCGTAGCACCGCAATCACTCTGGCATTATTCCTTAGAGCCACCTTACAAAATACTGTGCAAGGGAACGCTGCCAACAGCGATAATCGTGAATGGATTATGTTGCTAGAGGCCGCAGCATGGGATCGCTATGGCTCGTCAACCCAGCCGACATGAAATCTCATATAAGAACCTTTGCTAGGTATATGAATCGCATCCCCGTCTCGATTATGTGCATAGGAGGCCTGGAACTGGGCGCAGTGATTCGGGCGTTGTCGTTATCTTTGATACCGAAGTTCGTTCATCGGAAGGTATTTGTCGGCCGTCCTTCTACGAAATTGATCATTAGTTGGAGGCTTGGAAGACGGGCTTATCAATCGGCAACGGGGTGATATTTCCATCTTCACGTTTGTCAAGGAGTAAGTATGGGTCGCCTTCTCAACAATAGAGAGTATGAAAGCCCAACATCTCTTCTTACTCGAAATCAATCGCTATATAGTCCATCTCAATCCAACAAACCAGTTAAATATCCAGAAATTGCTAAAACGTAGTTTTATTTATCAACTTTAGTTCTGGCTCTTTTCGGCCTTCTTGCCTCCCAAGCAGTGGCTTGGCAGATTGTAAGTGAACACGCAATACCCGACTTAGACTTGACTTGAGGGGAACTTGCGTATACAGCTTGCATAACGGCGTGCGAAAGAAGACCTGGCGTATGCTGGGGCGGAGATAACGTTGGCTACTGCAAGAACCTCTGCAGTCGCAACTGCCCCAACATGTTTTGAATGTTGGATGAATCATTGGATGGATATGTAATTGAAGCCTGGATAGATTCTTAAAGAATCAACAATCCAGTATATGATCACTTTTCGATGGAGGCAGTATTGGACCTATGTTCTTCCTTGCCCCTTGCTGTTCGAAGCGCTCATCACGCCCATGCTGATGATCTCTAGTGTACAACAACGCCCCCTCGATTCCAATGTCTGACAACTCAGGAACAATATCCTGTGTAATTTTAGTAACTATACAGAAGCGTGCTATGGTTACCTGAACGCGACAGTCTTCGGTTCTCCTTCACCAGCATCCATTTCAAGACCCAAGCCATGATCGCGGCTGCCACAGAGAAAGCAGCACTTGAAAGCATAGCCGTGGTATATCGAGGTGCATCTGATTCTGGCCAGAGATACTTTGAGCAGTCAGGGGGTTTGCCGGGCAATTGTTGAAGCTGGATAGGGGGCGGTGACTCACTGGGGTGTAGATTGAACCGATGGTGGCGATGGTGTTAACCAACGCGAGGGAGACTGCCTTCTTCTCCCTCGTTTGTCCACAAGTACTTGAGACCCAGCCGAGGATGATAGAGTTACAGGCGTAGACACCGCTGGCAAAAGTGCACATGGCAAAGTACCTCGCACCGACATTCAGAGTACTACAGGCTAGCACGAAGCCAATTACCGCGACGGCTTTGGCAATGGTAACGTGCCAGACTCTTTCGTTGAAGTGACCTGGCAATAGTTGTCAGTAGTACGCACGAACGATTTCTTAGAGACCTCACCTGAGCTGGCAGCCCATGCTATGGTTGCAATACCGGAAATGATATAAGGGGGGCATGTTAAGGCAAGCGTAACGTTTCGGCCGAAGCCCAGTGTTTCGACAATGGTTGGGAAGAAGTTCTTGTATCCTGATGCGCTGAGATGCAAATGCTGCATAGCTACCAGAACCCACAGACGTGGATCCCGAGTGGCTTCGGAAAGACCGGCCCAAGTGCTGGTGTTCGCTTGAAGTTGGACTGTATCAGCTGCGACTCGGGAGTGTGCCAGCGTCCTTTGCTCATCACTGAGCCAGCGAGTATCGAGCGGTTGATCAGGCAACAAAAAGGCCGATGAGACCGAAATTATGAAGCTGATGACACCCTGAAGAATGAACAACCATCGCCATCCGCTCAAACCAGCCACCTGGTCCATCTGGAATACTCCTATGGCTATGAGACCGGCAAAAGCAGTGCCACATATGTTCGCCGTGAAGAGTATGGATATTCGAGTTGCAATCTCCTTTCTGGTGTAAAAGATTCCGAGTAGATACAGAGCACCGGGGTAAAATGGCGCTTCCGTGATGCCCAGGAAGAATCGAGTCAAAAGCAGGCCTTTGAAATCTTTCGTCACACCTGTGACCGTGCTGACTATTGACCAAAGGGCCATAGTTGAAGCCATGAACCATGAGGGCCTGACTCGTGTAATCAACATGTCTGTTGGTCTTTGTCAGATTCTGCTTGGAATAAGAGCCCAAGAGGGGATATCAGGACGCACTACTCGGAATTTGTCCTAGGATATATCCAACAAAAAGTATGGAAACACAGGTCTGGTACTCAGTCGACGTCAGGTTGAGCTCGTTCTCGATGCCATCTAAACGAGCAACGGTAATGGCGTTTCGATCAAGGTAACTGTCGCAAAGATAGTCAGAGAGAGTCACTGGTTGAACATATCGCCTACTGATGCTTACTTGAACCAATACTGATAGTATAGTGCAGCAGTCAGCATTCATATTAGGCTCGAAACACCAGACCGTGAGTACCAACCATAATCCAAAGGACTGGTAAGATAATCCAGTCCAGTCTCCGCACCAATCTTCTCTCGGCCGAGCTCATGCTCCCGCAAGTTCCCGCCGAATCAGTCTTCGGCGTGCCTGTGTGCGATCTCGGTGCCACGCTCATCTCCAGATGCTGGCATACGGCAACTTCATCTACTTTCGGTGCAGATATAGGCTCGTGCGCCTCAAGATCAGGCTGCTTAGAAGTAGCCATGTTGAACTTTTGTTAACAAAAAGGTATACCTGCCAAGATAGGGAAGGAAAGCTTCCAGACTCTCACTATAATCACTGGAGGAACACGAAGACTTGCCAAAGAATTCATGCTCCCCCTTCTTATACCGAACGCGTCTCAATTTAGTAGCTACATCCCAGACTACCTATCTAACGGATAGCCCAGGTTTCCCCGCATTATCCTGCGAACACCTACCCGCTAGTGCAAATGTATGTCTTCGTGACATACCTCATTTGGAGAAATCTACGGGATACTTAACCGAAGATGTGTAAGTCAAACAAGTTAATGATGGGGTGTTTGAGGTGATCAAGACTATACGATGGCTGGACGGAGTTCAGCGGACTGAGACGGGCGGAGGAGATATGCGCTGCCAATAAAGCGACGGACGATCTTGGACACCCCTCAACTCGCATGATGTAACCGACATCCACGGACTGACACGGCTTGACGCGGACAATCACGGATGCCTTGCAGGAGGCTAACACGAAAGACTGTGCGGAGATCTAGAACCAGTATCACTGACACATTCCCATACGGATGGTTTACGTACGAAGCTATTTGGCCGTGTGCCTCTAACTGATATCTGGGAGGTTCCACAGAAAGTTTAGTGAATCGATGTCAAACCCCTGGTAGAGCTGATCTGTGTTGTCACTGAAAGGCGCAATGCTGGAGTCAAATTGCAGAGCCCGCCAAATCCCGCTCTGATCCATGGACACGCCATCATTCGTACTTTGATCCGGCGGAAGAGCTGGCATCGCGAGTCCAAATCCATTCAGGCTGTCATGGATATCATTGAGCGCTCTCTGTGGTTCAGATACAAAGAAGAGATTTGACTTCAGGAATTGGGTATGTTTCTCAATGAGATGGGCGTATCTTAGTGCAAAATCCATGTCGTCTGGCGGGTACCGTCCCAACGCAGTTACACATCGATCTAACGTCCGTATGGCTGAGGGAGCATCTGTGGCTGGTGATCCGAGACTAAGGGCCTTTAACAAGAAGACAGATGCAGATATCACGCTGATCCTGACACTTGCTGGCGCGTATGCAAGATGTGACTGGAAAGACGTCTGGGTGGCAATGCGTAGCACTTCGCTGCTGTCCGACACAACTTCTTGCAGAAATTTAGCGTCCTGGGCAGTCATATAACCGGCGAGACTGTCCTTTTCAATTCCATCCGCTCTGGCTGTCGCAGCTCTTCGTACGACTGCCTGTATTGATATGGCACCTATGCAAGCTCTGATGTGATAGTACTCGATAGATAGTGATATCCTTAGAAGCCCTGCTATGATGACGCATTCATGTTAGCCATCTGAACTGTTGGGATGAATACATGACGAACCTTTGCAGTCTAAATCAAATGAAGACTTCCAGTTGGAAAGAGAGCTCAGGAAATGATCCAATAGATCTGGGTAGCCATCGCTCCGAAGTAAGCCTTCCAAGTGCTCCACAGATTGGAAGAACATTGATGAAGCTACTTTCGAGAGACGGGTAAACTCGAGGTAGACATCCATGTATGAGGCCCATGAAACCTGTGAAGAATCGCTCACGTCTTTCATTGAGGATCGTGAGGCTGCGATGGATACACCTTCTGGAAAGACGGAGCTATACCCCAGTCTCGTTGCGGTTTGTGTCATGTAGGCATAAAGGAGCTTTTGAGCTCGAAACTTGCGACAATCTGCAACATTAGACGCCAGATAGTTTGCGCGTTGGTCGGTTGATAATATTCCAAGTTCATAGGCAAGATTCGTAGCGAGGCCAAGGAGCATCCATGACATCCTACTCGCTCTTTTCGCAGGCTCAAAAACATCCTTGCGCCAACGAAGGAGGGGCTCCTCATCATTAGTTCGCCTCCGGTTTTGACGGTCATAATCCAGATCGATCAGCAAAGCATCCCATCCCTCTGTATCAGGGGGGAAATGGATGGCTCGCGGGTGCCAATCCGAGATGAGCAGCAGACTCTCGATTGTGCCGATTATTCTCATTTTAGCAGTGGAAATCTTCTCTTGACCCAAAATAATACGTTTGATCATTAGCTCACAGAATTGCCAAAGTCGATTGTGTATCAGATGACTCCTGGAAATACCACCTGCTCCCGGCAAGAGGAAGAATCGAGATGAAATCATCAGGATAGTGCAGCATAACATGGATTCTTCGTAAACAAGGCTTGAGTGTGCATCGTGGTTCCGGAACTGGTCAACGATGACAGGAGAAAGTGGAGAGAGGTATTTGAAGAAGCTAGGTGACGTCAGTGAGAATTGGCTGCACTGGGGCCCAAAGAGTTGAAACTTACAGATCGATGTACGTGACGGCTTCTTGCGATGTGAACCAGCCCTGTCTGACAAATCTGCACTTGTCCCACATATCGAGAGTATCGTCGCCAGGATCGGATAGTGCCTGAATGATGAAGCCCACACCAATCTGACCTCCAGTCTGTTCTCTAGCGGGCACAGCGACGGGGATATCTTGCGCGATGTGGGCTGGTTGTGCTGAAGGGGGACCAGAGGATGGGGATACTGTAGCATGGTGAAGTAGATTTGCGGCGTCGGACAGCACATCAAGAGCGTCATTAGAGCCAGTCACAAGACTGGAGACAACCCGTTCTGAAAGTGAACTATCATGAAGAGAGCTTCGACGCCACCCCGTTCCAGGGTCTTGGGTGAGTGCTCTACTAGACGGAGTGGCTGCAGGTGACATGCTTTCTTGTACTAGTGTATCAACATCTTGCGGCGATTTGGATAGACTGGCGCCAGTAGGCTGTGGTGTAGGAGCATACGCCTTCGTCCTCGTGCTTTTCCAACTTGGCGGATCCCTATGTTTCGAGGTTCTCGGACGTCGATCGAACCGACAGTCGCGATGCTCACGCCTGCATTTCGCGCAAGGGGGCTCATCTCCCATGATGCACCTCACTTTCCGAGACCTACAGGTATCGCAAGCAACATACGTCCGCTTAAATCGTGGTGATCCGACCGAGGTCGGTCCTGCGGCGGACTTATTTCGAGGCTCATCGCTCATGGTGAGTCAAGTTAAGCAAGAACCATTGGAGTTGAGACAAGAGATTCGACTGGATGATGGACAAGTCAGCTCCAAACATCTCAATCATTCATCAAGTCTTGCTTGTCATCTTCTCTTACCCTATGCGTCTATTGAATGATCCAGGAAACAGAAAGAGGTGCTTCCTCTTGATGCTGGTGGTCTGGTGGTTTGATGAAGCGAGGATAACCACTGCCGAGGAACCCCGCTACGATCCGCTATATAGCGCCAATGCCCGCGACAGTCCGTGACTATCCGTGTCGGTCCGTCGTCGATGTCTGCGCTGACATCATCTGAACTTTGCTCCTCTCCGCACCGGGGGGCACTGTTCAATCAGCCTTCGGCATAAATTCGAGTACCAGACAGGCTGCTTGTAATCTTGTGAGACTTTGAAAATTACATTGAAGGTGGGTGCTACGAGTCTTCGACTCCGAGAACCGGAGCTCTCGGAGATGCTGCATAGTTGTTGGTGAAGCGTAGAACTTCGTGTATATAAGTCAGGAGAATCGCTTGACAATGAGGCTCATGTAAGTCTGACAACAGCACAAATATCAAAAACCTGCCGGCTACCAGAGATTTCCATACCAAGCGAATCCCCACAGTCAATCATGTCGAAGTCCATCGTCAACACCACTCCTTACCCGTTTCAATTCGACGCAAGCAATGGCCCAACCATCGAGAGAAGCGACAAGAAAGCGATAGTGAAATTAGACAACTGCCGTGGAAAGACTCCTTCACTCCAGGCAACCAAGATTCGAGCCATGATGCAAGAGGCGCATGAAGATCCATCCAAGATCCTTGCCCATGTCTGCAGTTACGATGCTTTGAGTTCACGACTTTGCGAAGAGGCCGGCTTCCCTCTAGTCTTCCTTGCCGGATATGCCATGGCTTCAGCGTTTGGCCTTCCAGATACTGGGTATATCGCTTTCCAGGAAGTTGCTGCCAAGGTTCAAGAAGTTGTCAGGGAAGTCAAAGTTCCCGTCCTTGTGGACGGTGATACTGGATACGGCGGGCCGATGAATGTGAAGAGGACCGTTGAGGGGTAAGCTTGATCTTCGCTTAAGCCAGGAAGACATATGGTGATCATGCTGACATTGCTTGTGCAGCTTTGCGGCCGCGGGAGCTGCTGGCATTATGATAGAGGACCAATCTTGGCCAAAGAGTATGGCCAGTCATGCCCCGTGATGAAGAAATAGACTGGATCTAACAGCTATGCAGGATGCGGCCACACTGCTGGCAAGAGCGTGGTCTCTAGAAGTGAGGCTTATGCCCGATGGCAGGCCGCAGTCGATGCCAGAGACGAAGGGGTGGACATGTGGATCATGGCCCGGACCGACAGTCTCATCCACGGATACGACGAAGCTCTCACCAGAGCCCGAAAGGCGATTGAGATTGGAGTGGATGCCGTCTTTGTTGAGGCGCTCCCCGATCGCGAGACCATGGAACGACTTCGGAAGGACCTCGACTTCCCCGTCTTTGCCAACATTATCGAGGGTGGTAAGACGGAGAACTTGTCTGCGCAAGACCTGGGTAAGCTCGGGTATTGCGGAGTTGCGTATCCGTGGACTCTGGTTGCCGCAAAGCTGAAGAGCATCCGCGAGGCTTTAGAGGCGCTCAAAGGTTCCTTCACTGTTGGAAAGCCTCCGACGATTCTATCTTATGCTGAGGTTTGTGAGGGGGTCGGCTTCAACAAGTACTTCAAGCTTGAGGAGCGCTACCAATTTGAGGGGCGCACAAATGGAGCGAATGGACACCAGTGGCAGGACTAAGAGAAGCTCTCGGCTCCTCGGATCCACGGCCGACACCTTGTAGTCAAGAGTTAGTGAACTTCATCTCACCCTGCCTCAAAATTGTTTGACTTCGAATATCACCTACCAGGATAAGAAACTGTACAATTTGTGCTTCTCAGCAATGTGCATAGTGCTACTTCCCCGCAACATTGGCAATTGGGGGTCGACACTGGCCCAACTATTGACACAGGTGCCAGTGAATGGTGGTTCTCCCAGGAAAAGAATTGTAAGAGTCTCGAGATTCGAACCGATTGCAGCCTAATTGTGGCTTGTCGACGGCTTCTAGCCATGTTGGATTTGAAGTCTAGGTACTGTACGCGTATTTCCAATTGACGCTCATCTGACTTTTGTGTGAGTTGAGTTATTCACTGCCCAATACTAGAAATCATACAGGTGTTGACAGGTTTCATCCAAGCAGATACATGTAAAACCTGGGCTAGAACTCAACAAGAATGGTCCGAGCAGTTTGACAGGTGAGATAAGTACTTACCAGTCAGCCTGAAGGCCCATCATTGTGTTTGCGACTTCAATCGGTCGTGGAATACGGCCGTCGCGGCTCAGCCGGTCCAGGCAGTCGAGGGCGAAGCGTCGAGCGTCTGGGGGCGTGATGGAAATCTCAGCAATGACTGATAATGGCCAGATCAAGCATCTCGCCGTAACAGAGAATCGGTCTTCGGTGGTTTCTAGATACTCGCCACAACTGGCGAGTACCTCAATCACCAGAGTCGACATTTTCCGCATCGCGGCCTCCTGCATGGCAAAGTAGTCCGCAGTGGCTGATGTGGGACCCTGAAGGAGGCTCAAGGATGCTTGCATCCAAATAAGGTCGTTGAGAAACATGCGAATGATTCTCAAAGAGTTCCAGTACCGCAGCGCTCGAAGAGAAGGGTAGCGAAAAGACATTCCCTTGTATGTCATTGGTGCCCTCTCATATGGGTCCCTTGCCGTGAACCTCCATTCTGCCGAGACTTCTTGCCCAAGCTTCGCTGTCGCCGCGTCCAAACTAAGAGCTTCAACAAGGATCTCATGTCTCTCCGAGTCCTCCAAATAGGCTATCCTTGACCGTAGAGTGGCGACCCTGTCGAGAACGGGGGTGACTTTGAGGAAAGGGTCGTTGTGATCAAGATACGGCTGTGCTTTATCGTATAGCGCTATGAATCGGGTCGGGACTGGTGTTTTGCTATGCGCGCAACTCGTGCGGATGTTGTTTGCAGAGTGAACAAAAAGCTTGCGGCCGAGAGCAGTCTCAAATTGCCGACTTCCACGCAGGCGCAACAACTCTACGGATCCAAGCGTGTGCTGATTCCAGCTATCCATAGACTGCTGTCCGGAAAAGACGATGGCCTCGAACAGTCCCAGAAGAAGCACGGCAGCTAGAGTGCTATCCTCGACGGCAAGTTTCGGGGAGCTAAGTGCTTGATTCGTTTGGCATAGTGCGCTGGCGTATTGGACTCTAGCCTGCTTCATGAGTTTTGGATCCGATATCTTTAGCGACAGACTTGCAAAGCTTGCAGCCAGTATCGACGCGGACATGGCATCGCTTCCTGTTAGCCCATAAGGGCAGAGTTTAGGTAGATAATCAAATGGCGAGGTTGCTATGTAGTCGGTCATGAAATAGGTGCGGGCTAAATCCTCGATGGGCGACGAGATTGATCGATAGCGAACCACCTCTCCGTCAGACGGTGGAGTTGAGGACGATGAGCTTGATGGAGACCAGTGATTGACCAAAGTCCCAACAGCCTGCCTTGGTGTGGCCGCCACGGTTATAGTACCGCTCGAACTTGCATGCTGCTTCTGCGCATCTGCTTCCGCCACCGATTGCGTTTGCTGCTTCGTTTTGGCGGCCAAACGCCTCCTGGGTTTCCTATTCTGGACCTTAAAAGCAGCGTTGGCGGTCTCGTCTCTAAAGTAGAATTCCGAAGGATCCCTGTAGCCGGGGCAAACTATCTGCTTTCGGGAGCACTGGGTACATCCGGGCTGCAGGCGATCACACTGTAGAACGAGAACGGAAAGAGACAATTGTCAGCCTTGGCTCATGTCCGAAGAGTGTGGTTCATGTTGGTTGTTATAACGCGCTGGACAACGGTGCAGAAGTGTGCGTGCCGTGGTGTCGTACAGACCGCCAAAGGGACTGACGGGTCGAGGCTCGGGGCTGAAGATACGAGCGGACCAGTCGGAGGGGGGATTTAGGAACAAGATGGAGTACGAACCCTGAGTCTTCCCTTGCGACAGGGGTAGCACGCCTCTGACGGCCGGCCCAAGAAGACCATTATCAGTTTTCGGTTGGACTGGGGAAAACGAATCGTGTCGGACGGTGGTGCGTAGGGACCGAGACACACTGCAGCAACCCTCAAGACAGAGACACACTGGCGATATCTTGAGGCAGATGGAGATGTGGTGTCGATACTTTCCTGATTGTGGCTGTGTTTGGGGGCCATCCTTAACGTCGAAAGACCGTCGGGATACGGCCGGAAAAGCGGCATAAAGTCGTACATCTTGGCATTGTCGAAACACGATCCCCATTTGGTATGGTCGTACTTTATGAACAAGCACAACTGGAATTCAGTCTTCACAACTCCACATTTTAAGGCTTGTTTTCAGGTGGCGCAACGGATCATTCAATTCAACTGGAACGCGAAGTTGCGGGGTCGAAAGATGTTCAACAGAGAAACAAATTTACGCCAAGCTCCTATCTATGGTATAAAGTACCAAACGCCATTCCGATATCCAAACACTAATCTCGGGAGATAATAAAGCCATTTTCAACAGGATAACAAGGAAAAAATGATAAACTAAAAGTACAAAATCTCAAAAGCCCAGAGAAGTCAGCAAGCCTGCCTGCGATTCCATCGTCGGGTGCTGAAGAAGTTGCTCGAGATCGAGGAACACGTCCAGGCTCTCATATATGCCCTTCAAAGCCACAGCGACGAGGTTGTCATTCCATACCTCGAACATGGAGGTAGGAGTTTCTTCTGACGATGTGTCTCGGCAATGTGCCTTGTGCAGCAAGCTCCACGCCTGATTGACAACGGCGCGTGCATGCTCGTCAGGATTCTGCATGTCGGAAGACGCGACAGACTCGTCCTCATTCCCAGATGGGCCGCCCGGCAAGAGCGGCGCGTTGTTCGCTCTGGTCTTCTGGCTTCGAGTGTCGGGCAGTGGTGCTTCCGAGTCCCAGTGGTGGCCGAAGTGCTCAATGGCGACACAGAGTGCCTGCAGGAGAGTCTCGGCGGTGTTGTGGTTGATCGTATTGAGGGCGTGGGTAAGCTCAATACTCAAAAGGCCTTCCGAGGGGCGGGAAGTAGTGATGATCCAGATCGCAGCAGCATTCGAGGTACCTCCCTTTGCGCTCAACTCAAAAGGCAAGTCAGGCGTCGTCTCGTTCAGCTCGGCGGCCAGTGGGATGTTCTGGTGCTGGACGATGGACGCGCCCGCGAAGGACGTCCGGGCTGGCCAAGACGTGGCTCCCGTGATGATGCGACGGAATCCAACGTGCTCGTGCTCCATGCTCTTGGTATGCTGAGCGTGAACGGCTTGTAGAAAGGCGCGCGTGCTGGTATCCTTCAAGATGTTGTTGACGCGGACAGGAGACAAATTGACGCAAGGTCCCACCACAGACTCGATGCCAGGAACCGGAGCGAAGCGACCGGACACAAGGCAACCAAAGACAACGTCAGAAAGACCCGAGTGTTGGGCAAGGACGATGGCCCAGGCGGCCTTGAGAACACTGGCGAAGGTTACGCTGGCTTGAGAAAGATTTGGCAAGGTCACAAGCCGAGTAATGTGGCCCTCAATTCCGTCATTGGCAGTGATGGCAGCAGGGGTGATGACTGGAGTCATTTGTGAGTTATCAAGGAGGCGTCGCCAGTATGACATGGAGTGCCGAGAAGGAAGAGCCTGAATACTGGAAGAGAACTTGGCGAATGAGACTTCGGGAGCTAGCTCACTACGCTTCAAGGCCTGAGAAAGCGTCTGAAGGAGAAGTGGGAAGGACAAGCCGTCGTAGTGCGTGTGAGCAAGTCTCATGACAAGTTGGGTTTGCGAGGCGGACTCGACGATGAAGAACTTGGTAGGAATCTCATCGGAACCCAAGCGACGGGCCTCGTCAGTTTCGATCAAGCGCGTCGTAAAGGAGACAACGTCATCCGACGTGACACGGAAGAACTCGAAAGCGGCCTGGAAGGAGGATTTGGAAGCAGCAAGCTGCCAGAGTCGGCCGTTGGCGAGCTTGAGCTTGGTGCGAAGGATCGAGTGATGCTGGACCAGTTGTGTGCAAGCGTTGCGGATGCGTTCATGACTGAAGCGATCGAGGAAGCGGAGGACAAAGTAGTTGACGAAGCCGCGGTTTCGGAGCTGAGAGAACTCGAATGCAAGAGCCTGGAAGTCTGATGCAGGTGTGATGTGGTACTCGGCTGGGCTGCTTGAAGAAGCCTGTGCCATGGAAGACACTTCGGTACCAATGGCGATGTTGTCAGCGGCGGCAACTTGAAGGGCCTCATCATCGGTATGCTCAGCGTCTGGGGTGAGATCTTGACTACCGCCAAGATCCGACCACTCATCTGTTGAGGACGACCCGTCTGTGCGATCTTCCTCTCCTTGGAGATGGCGACACAGACTGGCCAACACGGGGTACTTGAAGACATCAGAGACACGGAGCGTGAGACCACCCTCAGCCAGGATTGGCACCAGGCGCATGGCTGTGATGGAATCACCTCCAAGACGGAAGAAACTGTCCCGGATGCCAATCTTGCTGGTATCAAGTCCAAGGACTTGTGCCCAGGCAGACACCATGCTCCTCTCCAGAGCAGAGCGAGGAGCTTCTTTGACACCTTGAACACCACGAAGAAGTTCCAATTGCTCGACAGTAACATCTGCAACAATGGCTTGTAGCCTGCGGCGATCGACCTTGCTCGACGAGGTGAGCGGGATTGAGTCGAGAGGGATGTAGAGCGTGGGAACCATGTAAAGCGGCACTGCATGAGACACCTCCACTGTTGCCTTCGACCAAGACTGCGCGAAAGCCTTGACAGCTTCGCTGTCGAGCGGGAGCATGGACCCAAGGGAGTTGCCCGATGCTCTGCTGCTCGAAGGCACGACAAAGGCGATCAAGGCCATAGAGTCGTTCTTCTGCTGGGGGAAACTGACGATGTCGGCAACGACGTGGCATTCAGGCAGAGCGCGACGCATATGATGTTCAACTTCGCTGAGCTCAATGCGCTGGCCCCTGAGCTTGGCCTGGTTGTCCTTTCGGCCGATGAACAAGATGCCACCGTCTGAGTCGTATCTCACAATGTCGCCAGTCTTGTAGAAGCGTCTGGGCCTGCTGCCAGGACTAGGGAGAGCTTGAGTCCAGGCAAGGTCCTGTACGAAGGCGGCGCGGGTCTTCTCTTCTTGGTGAAGATATCCGCGAGCCAGGCATGGTCCTTCGATGAGAAGCTCTCCAGGCGCACCAACTGGTGCCAGCTTGTTCGGATCTTCGGGGTCCACAATCCAGCAGATACAGCCAACACCTCTTCCGATACGTCCAGGCTTGTGGTTGCTGGACTCCAAGACGCATACAACGGTGCACTCGGTCGGGCCGTAGCCGTTGCTGACACGGCGGCCCTCCCATCGCTGGATATCTGAGCTTGTCACAACCTCAGCACCCAATGCAATAGCCTTGATGGCCGGGACCTCCTTGGGACGAAGGAGAGAAGCAACTCGAGGTGAGAGAGCAGCAAAGTTGACACCATACTTCCGAACTGCAGCGTTCAGGTCTTCGGAAGCTTCCTCCGACGATGGAATGCAGACGCAGGCCCCGGCCAGCAGTGTGCCGAGTACCTCGAGCACAGAGGCGTCGAAAGTGTAAGAGGCGAACTGCAAGACTCGACTCTCGGAAGTGATTCCCATGGCGGAGCCGTGGGCCAAAGTGCTGGAGGCTGTAGCAGAATGAGACACCATTACTCCCTTTGGCACACCCGTGCTGCCAGACGTGAAGACGACGTACGCCAAGGAGTCGGGTAGAGACACACTGTGGCCAGGTGGCGGCGTGGTCTCTTTCTCCTCCGTCGAGTACTCAAGCGATGCTGGGAAGACTGGAGTAACAGGGAGATTTGCTAATGAAGGAAGTTTTGCCAGCTCCGGTGAAGTGAGAAGGACGCTGATTTTAGCCTCTTCGACGATGAACTTGAGACGACTTTCAGGCTGTGCAGCATCCAAAGCAACGAACGCACCGCCGGCTTTGAGGATACCAAGCATGATGACTGGAACCCATTTGGACTTGCCGTGGCTAAAGGCAACCACAGTCTCGGCGCCAATGCCGACTCCAATGCCGCGGAGGCGATGGGCCAAGCCATTGGAAAGTCTGGTCAAGTCGGCATATGACAAGTCACCGTCCCAGGCACTGACAGCGGGTGCCGAGGAGGGATTGCGACCGATGATGGTGTACACAGCCTCTCGCGCTCCAGCAGGAGGACCTCGAGCGTTCCATGCCTGAATTTGAGACAAGTCTGACTTGCCAGCTAGGTTTAACGCCGAGATGAGAACGTTGGGGTTCTGGTCGAGGAGTGAGGCGGCATGCCCGATCTGGTGCAAGATGCGGCGCATCTCGGGGGGATCAATAATGCGACTGTCGTAGGTGGCAGACAGTTCAAGCTCATTGCCCTCGACCGTCGCTTCAATGCCTAGTGGGTAAGTCTGAGGAGAAGCAGTCTCATCGCTGCTTGAGGCGTGGCTGAGCTGGTCACCAAAAAGACTCTCGCAAGCAGGGCTATCGTCGTCTCTCTCAGGCTGGACGACGAAGATGCTCTGGAACTGACACGATCTCTTGGCCGACTCGCTGATCTTGGCAATGTTGACCAGACCCATCTGCTCGAATGGCATCATCTCCGTGGCCTGGCGCTGGGCATTCTGGAGGAGCTCCTGCGCTGTCATATTGGCATCCCAAGACAACCGGACTGGCACAGTCGTGATAGTTGGGCCAACAATGGTCTCAACACGGGGGACAGGGACATTGCGGCCACTCAATGTCGTGCCAAAGACAACATCAGAGGAACCGGTGTATGTCCCGACGACGATGGCATATGCTGCACGGAGGAGAGTCGAGACAGTAACTCCATCGCGTTGTTGTGATCTCCAAGACAGATTCACCTTCTCGGACCTGTCGGCGCGGAATTCCAGAGAAGCTCCATGTGGAACCGCCGGGAAAGGAGAAGCGCCTGCTTCGTCAAAGTAAGACTTCCAGAATGACTGAGCAGCGGTGGCATCGACTCCCTGGATGTGCTTGATAAATGTGTTGAAAGCAGGAGCCTCAGGGAGCATCACTTCCATGTACGCTGTGGCCACGGCTTCTTTAATGATGGGCATTGACCAACCATCGTACATGGCGTGATGAGCAGTCCAGATGAAGATGGCATCGTCGGCCGGGTTGGTCGGCAATACAAGACCATACCTGCTCAGAGCCGTACCTAGGCCCATTGTCTCTTTCTCGTCTTGGGCAAGGTACTCCTCCAAAGAGGACGCCGTGCGCCATCGCATTGCCTGTTTTGTGCTGATCACGGCCTGGAGAGTTCCGTAGGTATCCAGATGAACGAGTTGGGTGCGAAGAATGGGGTGAATGTTTGCGACGTACTCCCACGCCTTTTGGAATCTGCTCACGCGGACACTCCGGAGGCGGAAGATCTCACGAACGATGTAAGACCCCTCTTCCTTGACCGAGAGTGAGATGAGACCTTGTTGAAGCGGAGTGCAAGGATACAAGTCCTCGAGGGCTTCAGGGGCCACACCGCACTGCCGGGCAGCCTCTTGATGCATGAGAGTGTCGTATGCTGGGATGAGAGAAAACGGTGGAATGACTTCAATCTCATCGCTTTCGTTGCTACTGCACCGGCAAAGGTTGGCCAAGACGGGCGTCTGGAAGATGTCCGACACAGTGATGGAGATGCCGACTGATCGCGCAGCTGTGACGAGCTTCATCGCAGAAATGGAGTCACCACCGAGACGGAAGAAGCTGTCATTAATGCTGATACTCTCAGGATCCAGTTGGAGGACGGTTGACCAGGCGGATTGCATGCGCCTTTCAACATCGTTTCGAGGTGCAACCTTAGGCCCGTCGCCTGTTGCTCCACGCTGAAGGGCTCGCAAGGTGTCGAGGTGCTTGTGGGGGATCTTGGCTGCGATGGCCTTGAGTCTTTGCCGGTCCGTCTTTCCGGAAACCGTGAGAGGCATCTTGGAGATGGGGATGAAGATTGAAGGGACCATGTAGGGTGGCACTGAGCGAGCCAGCTCAGCGACAGCGGTCGAGGCAGCTTCTCCGACCTGCTTGAGTGAACCAGCGCTTATGCCAGCGTTGCTCTCAATGTTCACGTCGACGCCTTCAAGGACGACAAAGGCAGCGAGGGCTTTGAGCATGCCGCTGCCAGCCTTTTGCTGCTGAAGATCGACAATGTCTGAACGTACAGTGGCCGACGGGAGAGCACGGCGAATGTGGAAGTCAATCTCCCCAAGCTCGATCCTCTGACCACGAAGCTTGACCTGTGTGTCCTTGCGTCCGAGGTAGATGAAGGAGCCGTTGCTTGTCTGCCGCACCAAGTCACCCGTCCTGTAGAAACGGCGCGTTACCGAGGGCTCGTCGCTGGTTGCCCAAGCTGGATTGAAGATGAAAGACTCTGCCGTGCGCTCGGCATCATTCAGGTAACCAATGGCAAGACTAGGTCCTTCGATGAGGAGCTCACCAGCACACCCGATTGGTACCAGCTTGTCGATATTGTCGGCATCGACGACCCAGGCACGACAACCAACAGCGTGGCCGATGCGACCACCGTCCCGAAGATCAGGATTGACGACGCAAACGACAGTACACTCTGTAGGCCCGTACCCATTCTGGATGCGACATTGGCTAGACCAGCGTGAGATATCATTGTCGGTGACTTGTTCGGCGATGAAAATGATGGAGCGAAGTGAAGGCGTGTCCTCTGGGGACAGCAGCGCCAGAACGGACGGAGTAAGCATGATAGTGTTGATGGAGTAGGAGTTGATAGCTGCTGCGAGATCATCCACACGCTGAGCATCTGAAGGCATACAGATACAGCCGCCGGTAGCAAGCGTTGTGAAGATCTCAAAGATGCAGGCGTCAAATGTCAGGGATGAGAACTGCAACGTGCGACTGGAAGAGTCGACCCCGAAGCGCTCAGCATGAGCCATCATACTCGAAGATGCCGCGCGGTGACTGATCATGACACCCTTGGGTACACCGGTACTGCCAGAAGTGAAGATGACGTAGGCAAGATCTTCAGGCGATGAGATGACTCCCTTTATGAGGGCATCACTACCAGAAGCTCTGTGCCGCTTGACGAAGGGAGCAGCGGTGTCTGCCAAAGCAACAAGTTCCGAGGTGCATACGACGTTGGGTGCATTCTTGGAGAGTCTAGTCAAGCGCTCCTCTAAGCCCTTGGAAGTCAAGACAAGACGAGCCTTCGATAGCTTCATGATCGTTGCAAGTCTGTCATCCGGCTGGGCTGGATCAAGAGCAACAAAGGCCGCGCCAGCCTTGAGAATGGCGAGTGCTGAGACGATGGCCCATCGAGACTTCTCAAAACACAACAGGACCATCTCGCCCTGTCCACTACTACCGACGCCGACGCTACGAAGCCGACCAGCGACTTGCGACGATGCCGACTCAAGTTCCGCGTACGTCATCTCTCCGTCCCAGGCGCTGATGGCAGGGCGTGTGGCATTGACGACGGCGGCCGCTCCCACAAGGTCATGCATAGTCTTGTGGATTGGGTTGACTCGTCCCTCGTTCCACTTGATGACCTGGTCATGATCAATTGGATTGATGAGATGGAGATCACTGACTGGCTTGTCAAGGTTCTCAGTCTCGACAAGTTGAGAGAGAATGTGCTTGAATTGTTGCGCCATTCCAGAAACGAGGAAAGAATCCAGTAGCTTCGGGTCGTAACTCATCCGAAGGGTAACTGTCTTCGATGAAGTCTCTATAACACACTCAACCAACAATGGCTGGGTGGTGAACTGGGCTGAAGTGTCTTCGGAAGCGTCATAGAGCTCCATGATGTTGGCGACGGCTTCATCTTCCTCACTGTCGTCCTGTTGGACGACGAAGAGGGTACCAAACTGACAAGCAGCTTGGGCATCCTCATGGAGACGAGAGATGTGTTGCAGACCTGTCTGCTCGAACGGGATCATAGTTGTGGTATCTTGCTGGACCGACTCGAGCAACGAACGGATAGTGGTGCTTGCCTTCGAATCCCAGCGGACACGGATGGGGACAGTAGCAATGGTTGGGCCACTCATTCGATCGATGCCAGGGACAGGTGCGTTACGGCCGTTGACTGTCATGCCAAAGACCACATCCGAATCGCCGGTGTAGCTTCGCGTGAGCAGAGCCCAAGCAGCGCGGAGAATGGTAGACGAAGTGATGCCATCAATGGCGTTGACAGAGAAACCCATACTCTCATCGTGTGTTGCACTAGGTTGGGCAGTCTGGTTCGGGAGTAGTGAAGCAGGGAATGTGGTACTCGGCCCCTCGAGGTAGGACGACCAGAAGGAGTCTGATTCGGTCTTGTCCAACCCGTTCAGGTGCTTGATGAAGGCATTGAATCCTGGGATATCCGAGTCTCCACGCGAGGTCTTGTTGTACGCCTTGGAGAGGTCGCTGAGGAGAAGTGGGAGTGACCAGCCATCGTATATGCAGTGGTGCAGCGTCCAGACGAAGAAGAATCGATCGTAGTAGGGGATAATGGCGTATCGGCTAAGAGGCGCCCCAAATTCGACTTCACGAGAATCGTCGTGCGCGATGTAGTGGTCAAGATCGATGCTGGTGTCCCAAGACAATGACCGAGTGGTGATGGCTTGATACATGTTGGAGCCGACACTGACAATTCGCGTTCGCAAGATTGGGTGCGCCTGGACAACCTGCTCCCAAGCCTGATGGAAGTCGGCCATGCGTATATCAGTTGACAGCACCAAGACTTGACGCATGATGTACGATCCGTGCTGCTTCGCCGAAAGCGACATAAGTCCCTCCTGAAGGGGCGTGCAAGGATAGACATCTTCAACTTCCTCAGGTCGTACACCGCATTGCTTGGCTGCCTCGACAATGATTGATTCCTTCTCGCTTTGGTCAACGAGAGAGAAAACAGGAATCTTTTCGATCTGAGACGGTTGGGTACTCGCGGCAGCTTGAGAAGCCAGATCCCTCAAAATGGGAGCGCGGAAAACGTGGGCAACTGAGATGTGAAGACCGAGCTGTCGTGCAGCAGGGACCATCTTCATGGCAGTAATCGAATCTCCGCCAATTCGGAAGAAGTTGTCGTCGAGACCAATTGTCTCAGCCTTGACGCCAAGAACTCCAGCCCACACCGCCTGCATATTGACTTCAGCTTGGGACTGCGGCTGCTCCTTGATATCCGAGGTTCCCTGAAGCAGGGCGAGATCTTCAGGACTCAACCCTTGGGCGAGTGCACGAAGCTTTCGGCGATCCGCCTTGGCTGAGATTGTCAAGGGCATCCCGTTCATGGGAACAAACAGAGTTGGGACCATGTAAGCCGGCAGCGAGCGCGAGAGATCTGCGATGAGCTTGGGTCTGATGGTAGCCAGCTTCTCGACAGTCGCAGCATCCAGACATGTGGTGACTTCGGCAGACTGCTCCTCGTCGTTGGGGAAAACGATAAATCCGACGAGGGTGTCTGGAGCTTGACTGTTGGCTTGCATTGTGGCGATCTCGGCAGATACATCGAACTCTGGGAGTGCCTGGGCCAGTTGATGCTCAATTTCACCGAGCTCGACGCGTTGACCTCGGAGTTTGATCTGCGTATCCTTGCGGCCATGGTAGAAAACGGCACCCTCGTCATTGGCATGCACAAGATCACCAGTCTTGTAAAAGCGACGCCGTCTTCCGGATCCGTCGTTTGACCAAGCCGGGTCGAAGATGAAGGACTTCGCGGTGCGCTCGGGATCCCCGAGATAGCCACGAGCAAGGCCCGGCCCCTCGATCAGAAGCTCACCCGGCGCACCGACAGGAACGAGCATGTCGTGGTTGTCAGGATCAACGACCCAAAGGTTGCAGCCGACACCTTTGCCGATGGGGGGCTCCTCGTTGCTGCGTCTGTTGAGAGGAATAAGGGTAGATGTGACAGATGCTTCGGTACAACCATATGAGTTGAGGAGATTGGTGCTCTCAGGCCACCGGCTGACATCGCTTCCGTGGGATCGATCGCCTCCAAGGATGATGGTCTTGAGGGAGGGAACCTCTTCAGGAGTGAGGAGGGAAGCAACCTTGGGGTTGAGCTCGGCCCAGTTGGTCTTGGTCCGACGGATCTCACCGGCTAGGTCGTTGATTCGTGATGCTTCCGACGGAATGTGGAGGGTAGCGCCCGCAAAGAGCGTACAGAAGATCTCTTCTGAGCTGGTATCGAAGCTGTAGGAAGCGAATTGCAGGACTTGTCCGTCGGATCGTAACCCGCTGTCACGACCAAACTCATACATGGCGGAGCAGAAGGCCCAATGCTCCGTCACACATCCCTTCGGAGTGCCCGTCGACCCAGATGTAAAGATGACATACATGGCGTTGTCTGGGCTGCCATTCGGCAAGGGCCTTCTGGGGAGTGGCAGCTTCAGGATCGAAGCATCACAGACGACGAGAGTGTTTACACAACCCGATGGGAATAGTGACTCGGTCGAAGGTGCCACGACGGCAACCTTGGCGCCGAGCTGCCGAACAATGACCTCTTTCCTGTCAAGAGGATGGGAGGGCTCGACGACAGCAAAAGCGCCGCCAGCCTTCAAGACACCCAGCATCGCGACAACAGCCCAGATGGACTTCTCGAAACAGATGGGGACCAACATATCCGGGCCAACTCCGAGGGCATGGAGATGACCTGCAAGGCGGTCCGAGGCATCGTCAAGTTGAGCGTAAGTCATCACACCGTCCCAAGAGCTAAGGGCGGTATGAGTCGAACGCAGTCTGGCTTGGTGGCGGAATAGGTCATGAGCCTGTCTCCTGACAACCGCCGGCGGTATCGCGTTCCACTCCTGGATCTGATAAACATCTGCATCGGTGATCAGGTTCAGAGAGGAAACCTGGGACTGGGAGTTGCTGCTTAGGTACAAGACCGTCTGCTGGAAGAGAGTGACGATTCGCTCCAGTCGTTCCTCGTGCAAAACGCGGCTGTCGAAGGTGGCGATGACGCGTAGTTGATGCTTATCCATCTCACACTCAATGGATAAAGGATGGTCGTCGTATTCTGATGACTTGTCACGATCCTCGATACCAAATACTTCTTCCAGTTTAGCCTGGTCGGCAGTGGCAGGAGGCTGTACCAAGAAGAGACAAGAGAACTGGCATGCTCCCCGAGTATCCGAGCTGATGCGTGAGATGTTTTGCAGACCCGTTTGCTCAAAGTGCCGCATGTCGAACTCTTGGCGTTGAACGGCCTCGAGAAGTTCCATGATTGACATCTTCGGCTCCCAGCGAATGCGAACCGGAACAGTCGCAATGGTTGGGCCGGTGATGACATCGAGGCCAGGAATAGTCACGGGGGTATTTCTGCCACTTAAAGTGTTTCCAAAGATGACGTCCCGAGAGCCGGAATATCTGCCAGCAACTATAGCCCACGCCGTCTTCAAGAGTGTAGACGCGTTGAGACCATTCGTTGGCTTCCAAGTCCAAGGAAATTGGCGCACAACGGTCGAGTCAGGCTTGGGTGTGGATATTGAAGATGGGACCGACGGGAAGAATGACAAGTCTGGTCCATCGAGGTAGGTCTTCCAGAAAGTCTGGGAAGCCTTGGCATCGATGCCATTGAGGTACTTGATGAAATTACCGAAAGGGGGAGAAGGGGCGATGTTCTGACCGTTATAGGCCCTCCAGAAAGCGTCTTGGATGATGGACATTGACAATCCGTCGTAAATGGAATGATGAACAGTCCAGACGAAGACAGGGCTCCTCTGCGCCCCCGATTCTACGTCGATCAAGGCATAGCGGCAAAGTGGCGTACCGAAAGTCATGGGATGTTGCGCGTCTCCGGCCAAATACGCATCCAGGTCGTTTCCGAAGTTCCAAGACAAAGGACCTCTGACCACAGCCTGGAGCATTCCTTGGTCCGCGGTGTTGACAAGTCTGGTGCGGAGAATGGGATGTGCGAGGGCCGTAATGTTCCATGCCTCCTCGAACTGGAACATGTTGATCTGGCTGGGCAGGTTGAAGACCTTCCTGCTGATGTACGCCTCCGAGGTGTCATGCTTGGACGATAGTGAGATCAGGCCTTCTTGGAGAGGTGTGCATGAAAAGAGGTCTTCGATATCCGCGGGAGAGGTGTTACATTGCTGAGCAGCTTCCCGGCGTAATTCCAGAGCGGCATCGAGCGGGATGAGTGAGAATGGCGCCACCTGATCCTCCACCATTCCAGTCGATGCTTCTGATGCAAACTTGGCCAGATCGGAAAGCTTTGGGCACCTGAAGAAGTCTGATAGGCCCAAGGGCAGACCGATAGTTCTAGCCGCGCTGGCCGCCTTCATTGCAGCGATGGAGTCCGCGCCGAGCTCGAAGAAGGATGTGTTTTTTCCAATCATGGTGGGATCGATGTCGAGGGTCGAAGCCCAGACTGATTGTAATTGCTGCTCAGCTTCAGTCTCCGGGGCTTCAACAGACCCTTGAGCACCACGAAGGACTGCCAGTTGGCTCAATGACAGTCGCTGCGCCACCAGTCTGAGAACGCGACGATCGGTCTTCCCAGATACAGTGAGAGGAATCGAGGGAATGGGTATGAGAATAGCCGGAATCATGTAGGCAGGCAAGAAACGGGACAGCTCGGCTGCGACTCGCGTCCTGGCTTCTGCTGCGGCAGTGAGTTGTTGTTCGCTGGGCTGTTGTCCGTCAGATTCGGGGAACACAACAAAGGCCACCAGAGTAGCTGAACCCTTGGATGATGCCAAGTCCTTAACGACTTCAGCTACAGGCTCTTGGCCGGGAAGACTCTTGCCAAGGTGGTGTTCAACTTCGCCCAGCTCAATACGGTGACCTCTCAGTTTTACCTGAGTGTCTTTCCGACCGAGTAGAATCAGAGTTCCGTCAGCTTCATACTGTCCCAGATCTCCTGAGAGATAGAAACGAGCCGTGTTGCGATTTGGGAATCTGCCGCGCCATTTGGGCTCGTCGATGAATGCTCGTCTGTCGACGGGTCGGTAGTAGCCTCTGGCAAGTGCAATGCTTTCGACGAGGACCTCGCCAGGTATACCGATGGGTAGGAGGATGTCGTGGTTGTGAGGGTGGACAATCCAGATCTTGGCACCGACGGTGTGACCCACGTTCCGGTTGTCACTCTCGGGCGTCAATGAGAGTGTGGAGGTCTCCCAGATACCCATCTCAGTGCCACCATAGGTGTTGATGAGATTCAACTTTGGACTCAGCGAAACCACCTCCGATTTCCGCAGAGGCTCACCGCCTACAATGAGATACGTAAGAGAGGAGGCAATTGTCGGCTCGACCTGTGCGGCAACAGTCGGTGTGAGGAATGCATGCGTGACTTGAAGTTTCGCCATGCTGGCGTTGATGTCATCGACAACCTCCTGATTGTTGGGAATACATATGCAGCCTCCAGCGTACAGGATCGTCAAAGTCTCTGACATTGTAACATCAAAGGCGGGAGAAGCGAACTGCAAGCATCGGGTGTGTTGGTCGATGTGAAAGGGTCGAAGAACGTCTTTGATGCCGTTGCAAATGGCTTGATGCTCGTGCAGGACGCCCTTGGGAACACCCGTGCTTCCAGAAGTGAAGAATGCAGTCGCAAGAGCGGTAGCGGCCACCTGAGGGAGTGGCTCCGAGTCAATAGTGCTGGTCTCAGCTACTTGTGGGAGGTTTTCCATGATCTCGAGACCATTTCCAAATTCCGGCAGGGTCTCATCAACAAAGTTGGTGATGAGACACTTAGCAGAGACCTCATTAGCAATTGCAGCCACACGGTCTGCGGGAGCTCGAGGATCCACGGGGACAAAGACGCAGCCAGCTTTCAGAATAGCGAGCATGGCTACCATACTCCATCGCGATTTAAGCATCTTGGAGATGATAAAGGCGCCTTGACCCCATCTCTTGGCGACAAAGTGGCGGGCCACAGCTTCGGAGTAGTAGTCCAACTCGGCGTAGGTGAAGCTCCCGTCCCAGGCACAGATCGCCAAGTCTCTGGGGCGATGGAACGCGTGAGCAGTGACAATGGTATGGACACACTCTTGACTGTCTGATTGAGTGTTGTTGTTCCATCTAGAGAGCTGCGCTACCTCATGGAAAGGCAAGAGGTCAATCTGGTCAATCCCCAGATCTAAGTTCATGCTGGAACTAAGCAGCTGATGGCAGATGATTCGGAAAGTGGCGGCCACGGCCTCCATCTTCTGCTCGTGTGCTGCACCAGAGACATTAATATGGCACTGATTTGGTTCTTGACCAGACAGCACAAGTGTGTAGAAAAGCTGGAACGTGGTCAGTGACGCAGTACTACCATGGCGTTTCTTGATTTTACTCACCTCTTCGGGAGCAATGTGGGCGATGGAGGAAGTTAGCTCGTCCTCTGTGACGAGGAATCGGGTAGGACAATCGCTGAGTCTCAAGCAAACACTAGCGTCTTCCGCTGCGGCAGTTTGGCTCACTCGATGTAAGACGGCGCCCACCGTGATAGAATCAGGCCCAGTGTGCAGGTTTCGTATCGTGACATAATGGCCATCTTCATGACTGTCACTCTGATGCAAATTTGCCAGATTCACATCGTCGGAGTCTGTGTGCACGTGGCTTGTGATTGCCCATGCGGTTTTGAGAACGGAGTTGGGTTGTAAACTGAGCCTAGAACAAGCTTCCCGAAGGGCTTGGGATGAGACCACCAGCGTTTTCGAAGTAGACTTCATTTTTGTATAGTGAAAAGTAATGTGATAATACAGTCTACCAAAAGATTGTTGATTATTCGAATTAAGACAGATGGACTGGTAGAGTCAAAAACGAGGTTCATCGAAGAATACATGTATCATGCTACGGATTCAGGCTTGTGGTGAAGTGGCTTCATGCAATAATTATCCGAGTGATTGTACTTCCCGTCCCTTCCCGCCCTCCCCTAGTCAGTACCCTCTCCTCATGTCATATCGCAATAGCTGACACTGCCAAAACAACGCTCGGTGTTGATGGAAATTGAAGAGCGTGTTACCAGGGAGTCTTGGCCGCCGGCAACTCTTGCTCCAAGCCGAACAGGGCAATGCCAATGACCCTGCCCAAACCTTAAGACGGCAGACTGATCCTTTCGACGAGCAGTGCAGTCATCATTGCGCACAAACGCGAGGGATTGGAAGGAATCGAGAGCAGTCGCATTCGGGGGTCCTATGACTCCAACTTCCTACACAAACTAAGTAAGCCCGTATGGATCGTGAGTCGTGACCTTGTTTCAATCTCCGGCATGTCACTGCGAGTTCCACTTTGGCTCCCAGGCTTATGTTATGTGTGGTGGGTTGATGCAATTCAGCGAATAGGAGACACTACACTCTTCGCCGAAAAGCAGGGTCACATCGCCCGTCGGCCTGGCTTTACATAACTGCAAGGTTCCGCGATGTTCGGCTTCGACGCGACAGTGAGCCTCTGCGGAGATTACCCCGGTCATGCTGCTATGATCAGACGAACCTCAGCCGAAAATTCCTTAGGATTCCGGATCCTTTGGAAGCAAGGTGGGGCCGTAGACGGATCCGGATCGTGGGGCCAAGCTGCAAGGTCAGCAATATCCCCTGGCTGCGGCGTGGCTCAAACGCAGGACAAGCCCGACACGGAGAATTTAGATTACTGCAAGAAATCGTTTCCAGAAACCCAGAACCAATGTGGTAAAAGCAATACCACCACGGGTAAGCCGGGTCATCACACAACTGCAGATGTTGCTGACCCAGACCAAACAATCGGAATACCGAGAGTTCCTGAATCCTGCACGCGAGGCGTGAGAGAAGTTACATCGAATCTATATGCGGCCCGCACGGCAGCAATGCAGAGCCGAAGTTGGGCTGAATAACTCCAGCTTGAGCTTGAGTGTTGCCAGTGGCCACGGAGATTTGAGCCATGCCGACGGTCTCGGGTATTCAGGGCAGAGGAAGGTTGCCACAGTTCAAACTTGGGAGACTCGTATCTGCACGTGCGGTTAGGTCGGGATCCGGCTGGTGCTTCAAGAACGCGGGAGCGAGCACGACATGCCATTTGTCAGGGTGCCATCTGGGCTTCTTATGTATCCTTGAATGACTCTAAGTTTGACCCCGTCCCACCGCCATATCTGGAGTTCTAAGACAAGACATCCATTGCCACGGAACCGGTGCCAAATTTCCACGTCCACGTTGCATCTGGCCCAACGCACTGCCATCAACCTACTCCAGTTCAATCCCTTCAAAGTGGCTGCCTAAACTGATATCACTCTTTCACCAAACCAAAACACTCATTCACGGCAATCGGCACGATGACGAGCTCCAAAGATACGGATTCGTTGGAAACACCAGAGCGAACATGTTTTGGAATACCTCTGTCTGCACTGGCGGTGTGCATTGCCTTGTCCCTCACCGTCGGACTGATTGGCATGGTGAGTGCACGGGTTTTTATTCCCTAGCCAAATCTATGAAATAGGCGTAGATGGCATCACATACTACTGTTCTTGCGTGTAAATAATATTTTGCTAATTCATGTCGATAAATAGGATGGCACGATCGTGGGAGTAGCAACTCCTGAAATCACGACCGATCTCGGAAGTCTTGGTGACGTTGGTTGGCTTGGATCTGCCTAGTATGTGCTTAAAGTTATCCGAACATCTTTTACGCACCCAGATCAATCTCGAACATGAACTGACAAAGACAATTCAGCTTTTTGGCAGCAGCGGCATCTCAACTTGTCTTTGGCGCTCTCAACCGAGTAGTCCCACACAAACATGTCTACATTGCAGGAATCTTCCTATTCGAGCTCGGATGTTTGCTTGCCGGGCTAGCGAATACATCTGCAATGTGCATTGTTGGTAGAGCATTTTCTGGCCTTGGTTGTTCTGGAGTTGTATCAACTTCACTGGTGTACGTCAAGGTGTATTCCAGTACTATGCTCAGAATATCTTTCGCTGACTACCTGACTGCCCTGATGTTAGACTCGTAACAGAAATTCTGCCACCCGCCCGCCTCCCACTCATGATCGGAGTCTTGGGCGCCATGGAGTTGGTAGGGCAGATTACCGGCCCTCTCATCGGTGGCGCCCTGACGGACAACGCCTCATGGAGATGGTGCTTCCTGATAAACGTACCCATGGGAACAGTGGCCGGTGCCGTCGTTTTCTTCCTGCTCAGAACCCACCGAAAGCCTTGGAAGACGATCTTCCAGGAACTGAAGTTGATTGACGGCATCGGCATTCTCATTTTGACTCCGGCCATTGCTCTTATTTTGTTCGTCGTTCAGTCTGGTGGCAACACGTTCGCATGGAACAGCGCAGAGTCCATCAGCATGTTGACCGTAGGATTCGCTCTCCTCGTGGCGCTGATGTTCTGGGAGCATCGGAAGGGCGAGGCTGCTGTTATTCCCCTGGCACTGTTTAAGAACCGCAGCATCTCTTTCGCTGCAGTTTTTGCTGTGACAGCTGGCATGGCTATGGCTTTGTTCGACTACTACGTAAGTACAACCCTATGGAGGTGGCATCCCTCCCCACACCTTCGACGAGCCACGTTCTAACACGTTGTAGATCCCGCTATGGAATCAAGTCATCAAAGGCTATTCAGCCGCACGCTCTGGGATCCTTCTTTTACCCCTTAACGCTTGTTCTGCTGTTGGTGTGATGGCGGGAGGCCTTCTGGCGAACACCATCGGTCGCGCCAACCCGGTTATGCTTCTCGGCGGCACTCTAACGGCCATCGTGTCTGGTCTTTTCAGCACAATCACTATGGCCAGTACTGATTCCCGTATCATGGGATTCTCGGCCCTGGCGGGTTTCGCTGCTTTGGCGTCACAGCAGCCCATCGTTGTGGCTCACAACGCTGTCGAGACCAAGCTATCACCAACTGCGATCTCCATGATGCTCTTCAGCAGCATGGTGGGCAGTGCAATCAGTCTTGCTATTGCGCAGGCAGTTTTCCTCAATAAGCTTCAAGGCAACCTTCGTCCAGTGCAGGGAGTCGACGTGGACAAGATCATCCGAAGCGGCGCGACAGAGCTTCGCCACATTGTTGATCCATCCTTGCTACCAAAGGTTCTCGAACTTTATAATCTTTCGATTGTTCAAGTATTCTACATGGCTTTAGCTGCTGGTATCGCTATGACGGTAGCATCACTTTTGGTCAAGTGGACGAGGATCTTGGAAAAGAAGCCAAAAGATGCAGAAACATGTGAACCTTCGCCAGTCACATCAGCCGGTACTGGGGTGACCGAACCTGAGGACAGAGAAAACGCCCAAACAACCACGGAAACCATCGTCGAGAAGGATAAAGATTGATGAGTAGATCATTTTGGGTGGCCACAGTGTACAAGTAGCATCCTGGGTTTGTCGTTTCATGCAGTTCGTTGATAATTACTTTATGCATGTTTGGGTTTTGTTGTTTGATCATTTGTTCAAGAGGGTTATTACTATTTGGCAGATTAGCTCAATATACGTTTTCTCATTTGTCAACCTTTTATCGTCCTTCCCAATGGTGTGACAGCGGTATCAATGCTATATATTCTGAAGACATGGCGACTAAGGATTTGATGCTATACGCAAAAGTACTCGATTAACGAAGGACCTAAATTGGCTATTTCAACCGGAGCCGAGCATCAATAAACGTGCTCGCTTTCAACATGGCTACCTCATCGTGTTGGTGGTGGCTTTATCAATTTTAACTTAATTTACAGGCAAGCAGTGTTTCCCAGGATATCCATGCACAAGTGTGACTTTCTTATCATCAACCTTCCACAGTGCTTAAGCTGTCGCCGCAGTCTGAGTTGTGCTTGCGGCCGCGATCTTCGCCATAGCGTTTTGCTTCTTGAGCGGCAAGGTTGACAATTTCCGACGGTACATGTGCTATGGCTAATGTTAGTGGCAGAAAAAGAAGTAGGCGAGGTAGATATCAACTTACTAATGACGCCGAAACAACTGCCATTGCCTGGGCATTCTCTTCATTCTCGTCGATGAAGTAGCCCCATGTGGTCTTATCTCCCTCCACACAGGTAGCAAGGACGCAGAACTTCCCATTGAACCGCTCAGACAGCTGCTGAGTGTGATGAATATTGGCGACGGCATTAAGGTCCTTCATGAAGTGCAAGCCCCTGACAACGGCGGAAGCGATATCGGGCCCAGTTCCATCGATTCGAATGGCGAAGCTGTCGGCAGGGTTGATCATCCCGACAACAGTTTGCAGCGTGCCATCGCTGGTGATGGAGATGTTGCCAATATTGGAGGCACTATCGTGCTTCTCACTTGGCGTAAGTGCGTAACTGGCAATGAAGAGGTTGATGACCTCCTGGTGGGAGATCTCTCGTGCAAGGGCCTCGCACATCATCTGAACCCGGCCTCCAAAGTTGACCTGAAGCTCGACGGGGATATCAAGACCCCAACGTCTGTTGAGGATCCAGGTTGCAGCAGCCTTGCCACTCTGGGAGTTAACCCGAATGATTGTGTCCAAGGGAATGCCCAAGTCTTCAGGATCAAGAGGGAGGTACGGAATGTCCCAAATCGGTCTTATCCCCTTCTCGGCAGCCTCGACTCGTTGCGCAATGCCCTTGCGGATGATGTTCTGATGGCTGCCACTGAAGGCTTGAAGCGCAAACTCGCCGGTGTAAGGCATGCGCTGAGACACAATGAGTCCTGTGAGCTTCTCGTACTTTCTCTTGATGTCGTACAACTTTGAAAAGTCGAGACCGGGGTGGATGCCGCGCGAGTACAAGTTCAAGGCCAGTGTGACGAGATCAACATTGCCAGCACGCTCTCCGTTGCCGAAAAGACATCCCTCGACCATGTCAGCGCCTGCAAGCATACCCAACTCAGCCGCAGCAACACCGCATCCACGGTCATTGTGGGTGTGGATTGAGATGGAAATCTTTTCGGGGTCAGACAAAGACGCTCGGAAGGTCTCGACTTGGTCTGCAAACACATTGGGAGTAGCAACCTCGGTGCTAGTCGCCAATACCACAACCAATGGGTCTTCCACAGTGGGCTCCCAGGCCTCTCTGACAGCCTCGGTGATCTGCACAGCGTAGTCATGGTCGGCTTCGTTGTAAGACTCAAGGCCAAAGGCCATGGTCCAGTCGGTCACCGCCGCCGATTCTGGGTCATCCTTGGTGATAGATCGCAGGTACCTAACAGATCTGACGGCCTGCTCGAGTGCTCTTTCTCGCGTGAAGCCCTGGTATTTGAGCTGCTTGTCACTGACGCAGATATAGGTGCAAACAGACGCCCGCTTGGCGCCACGAAGCGCGGCGACGGTGCGAGCTAAAAAGTCCTCACGCGTGGGGGAAAGGCCCCGCAGACGTACAGTGTCGGGGACGATGTTTGGCGTCTCAATAAGACGTCTCGTGAAATCGAACTCGACTTGGGATGCGGCGGGAAAGCAAACTTCAATCTCCGTATAACCAATTTCCACGAGCATCTGAAAGTATTCCCATTTTTGCTCAATGGTCTATGGCCAAAATTAGCTTCCTAAAGTGTTGAGTGTCAAGCCTACGTGTAATACTGACCAAAGGGTTGATGAGAGATTGGTTGCCATCACGCAAATCAGTGGAAAGCCAAACTGGAGGCTTCGTCAGAACCTGGTTAGGCCATTTCCGGTTTGGGTTGTGGATTTGCTGGAATCCTGTGTATTTGGTGTGTGGGTCGGGAAGCCTGTTGTCACAATAGCTGTAAGTAAACCAGCTACAACGGAATGTAAGGGGATGCGCTACAATCGAGGGGCACGCACATATTGACTGATTGTAATTTGCGGAGCACCGAGAACGCAATTAACTCGACAAATGAGGGCACAATATGACTAATGAATTTTGAGGCTGGTAATCACATTGATCAGTTGAAAACTTGAGAACTTGAGATGCCTACACCCTGTAATTGGTCCCACTGGCACTTGAAGGTATATGTATCAATCAGCTCAATCTGGACAGAAACTCCCTATGTTCTAGATACGGGTCTATCACCCGAGCTTCCGACAAAGAATCACCAAGGGAAAAGAAGGTTCTTGACTATGCAGCCATGACACTGCATATGGTGGGCTTTCATCTGGGGCGGCAACGTGGCAGTGACACAGCGGTATTGATGCTTGGTCTGTGTGTACAACAAGGGTCCAGTCCCGTTCCAACTTCAAGGGGTCCATCCGAAGAAATATTGTTCCCGTCGACTCAATGTACGAAGTACAAGGTGGGCGCATCATCGGTCAGCAGCACCCTGGCCCGGATCAAGACAGGAAATCGGACCCGTCCGATGTCAGATTTAGAGTGCGAATCTCATGTTTAGTCTCATCCATTCAACGTCGGTTGATGCAAGACTCGGATATGCAAGTCAGGAATGCTGACCAGGTAGTAAAAGCGCTTCCTTTCTAGGGGACTTCATGCCTTGCGGAATTAAGCATGGAAGTCTCTTCTTTTCTTTCGCGAAAACGTTTTCTTGCGGATGTCAACCTCCAGGAATCGAATGCTAAAGAGTTGGAAGATTGATCCGTAAACAGGAGTTCTTTACACCGCCCGATCCCCATTACGGCGCTTTACTCAACGCAGCCAGCGCAAATTCTGGCTTTCAGTTGATTGATTGACTTCCTGCCCCCGGAGAGTTGATTGAGGGCACATTGTTTTTCTTGGGAAAGTTGTTTGTTTGAATTGTTATTTGGCTTGTTGAAGTTGCGTTGAGTGAAGCGCTACCCCCTTACTGAGTACCTATACTGCCACTCCATGTCCAAGGTACCGAGAATCCGAGACGATGTCAATCTAGTGAGAGTTCAGGATATAAAGTAGCTATACCGGATGAGATGATCAAAGTTCCAGCTAATTGCCAAGGTTTATGTACGTATGCCTTGGGTATGTTATGCTTATCTTTTGGCGGGGATCGCTGGTCTCAAACAATAGGCTAGAAGATTCAACCCACCTAAGTCATGGAACCTAAATCACATAAAGTTCAATCACTACAATCAAACAACGTTTCGCATTCTAGTCTTTTCTGTCCATATCCCTATTTTTTATTTTTCATGAAGTTCCCAAAACCTTCTTTAGAGCCTCAATGATCACATCAACCTCCTCCACTAGATACGAGAACATACGTCAGCTTTCTGGATCATCCGAACATGTTGAAGAGGGTAACTCACCGGTGTTGTAATGCACCAAACTCACTCTGACAACGCCATCTTCGCCGAGACCGAGAATCTCCTCGGCCAGCCGCTTTGAGAAGAAATGACCCCATCGAATCCCAGCGATGGATTGAGCCTCAACTCCCTCTACGACGCTTTGAGACGATTTTCCCTTTACGGTAAAACTCACGGTGGGAACACGGGTTGAGGCTGCAGGGGATGCGTCGCCTCGAATAGAGACGTCAGGCCGTGACTTCAGAAACTCGAGGAGATGCTTTTGCAAGACCTCTTCATGTCGAGCAATCTCAGCCCAGGTCTGCTTCGGGTTTTCTCCGAAATATTCCACCAGCGGCATGATCGCCTGTGTGAGCTCATAGCTAGCCGCAGCCAGCTCAAGCTTGTCCATCAAAGTTCCAGACGGATTAAAGTAGTGTCCAAGTGACTGCAGCTGCTCCTGTGCCTTGAAGGATCCGTACAGCAAAGATATGTGCGGACCGTACACCTTTGAGTTGTACACACTGTCAGTTTGTCCAGTACAGATACTTTCTCATGGAATCTCTTACCTTGTACCAAGAAAAGGCATAGAAATCAGCTCCAATCTCCTTTACGTCAATCGCACGGTGTGGCGCATAAGCAACGCCGTCAACACAGAGCAGGGCCCCCGGGACTTCATGGACGACATCTGCAAATGCCTTGATATCATGAATGCTTCCCAGGATATTACTGGCGTGTGTGCAGGCCACAAAACGAGTCTTCGGCGTCAAGAGACTCCGGAGTGTCGCCACATCGAGCTTTGGGTTTGAGTTATCAGAAGGTGCCCACCACTTCACCGTTGCGCCGGCGAGAGTTGCGTAGTGGAGCCATGGGTCAATGTTAGACTCATGGTCAACTTCGGAAAGAATAACTTCATCACCGGCCTTCAACTTGAGAGCGGCTGCAAGGTTACGGAAAGCTTGAGTTGTTGAAGGTGCAATGACTAATACGAAGGGTAAGAACATGTGACATTGAATATTGGGTCCCTTTCTTCTGAGTCTAGGCGTGGGGTGGTGGGTGATCCTTACCAATTTCACCGACATCAGCATTAATGTAATCGGCGGCAGCTTTGTACGCCTTGTCGAATGTTTGCGTTGAGATCTTGGATGTTTTGTAGCTCGCTCCCAGTTGCACGTTGTTGTTCACGAGGTATTCCGAGATGCTGTTCGTCGATGTCAGTAAGTTAGCTACCTTCCATGTTGTCCACCGTGTCTAATCCCTGAGACTTCTTTATGACTGGCTGCTTCTCACCTCTTTGCGACACTCCCAAGAACTTGACTTCCACCAGCGTTGTCGCCAAAAATCTGGTCTTTTGCCAGAGCTGGGAACTGAGCCCTAGCCTTCTCAACTGAAAATGTTGAAGCCATCGTGCAGTTGGTCATCCAGGTAATCTTTGAGCGGTGTTTTCCTTACTTACGCTAAGACACATACAACACAATTGTAGAACCTCAAATCTCTTGAATTCAGTATTCTTTCGCGATGTCGATTGATGATATGAACAAGCGTTCAACCCCTCATTCAAATTCCACGATGGAATAAGGTAGGGAGGATGGTGCCTCAGAACACGCATTGACCTACTCCATATGCAAGGTCACAGTCAGCCATGCTGGGTCGCAGCGAGTGCATAAGCGACGTCATGATGACCAAGATACCCAGCGACAGTCACTGAACAAAATCTGCATAAACTCTATCATCTTCCATACAGTCCCTTCAGATTTCAGATTCTTGAGACAGTGCAGGACGAAACACGGTCATGATGCTGACAGAGTGCGGGGTGTCGCTGGCATCGATGAGGCCCTTAGAGCTCCACTAGTTGGGTTCTGGGCAGAGCCTTAGTTGAGTGTAATCGGATCTAGAGGAGGGGTCCAATGACCATGTAGAGACAGCAACGACACCGCATATTCGTAGTGCTTATCGTGCATTATCTTATCAACAAGAATTACTATAACTGGGTCAGAATTCTCGAGAGTAGACAGGACAAGAGGTGCACACTCCAAGTCCGACCCCAACTGACCATCGCCCGTTTGCTCATCGTAAAGATCATAGCCAATCTCAACCTTACTTTGTCGAGAGATCTCTGGGCAGTTTCTCGGTCGAGCAATCTGAAAATGGAACACGGTATGGAACCTTGATCGACCCGCATGTATCCCGATACCTGTAATTAACTGCCCATCAAGTCGTTGAAATCGGAGGCGTCCGCGTCCGGATGACACCTGTCGACGAAAGCCCGAAGACAGCCGTTGCCTTCCAGGATCTTGTTGGGCAGCTGCAGATGACTACGGCTCTCGCTAGGATCCCTCGACCAATTCCTGAAGCCCGTCGTCGTGTTCAAGTGCTCGTGTCAGTCGACTTCGATGCGGTGTCGGGCTGGATGGGCACAGGGCAGCATCCCAACAATTGCCTCGCCGACTTCTCATCGGGCATCTTCGCAGGCCGCGTCGGCGTAGGCCGCCTTCTCGGTCTCTTTGACCGCATCGGTGTCTCCGACAAGGTAACGTGGTTCATACCAGGTCACTCTATGGAAACATTCCCAGCGGAGACGAAATCTATCGTGGACTCGGGCGCGGAGATTGCACTTCATGGCTACTGCCACGAAGACTGTACCAAGCTCGACACGAAGCAAGAGGAAGACGTCTTGGACAAATGTATTGCCCTTGCCGAATCTCTGACTGGGAAGCGCCCTGTCGGATTCCGAGCTCCTTTGTACCGAATCCGTCATGAGACGATTTCTCTCTTGGAGAAAAGGGGGTTTCTTTATGACACCTCACTCAGCGGCCACGACTCACAGCTGTACCCTCTTGACCGCGGCTTTTCCCTCTCCCCAGTCGACTATTCTAAGCCAGCACATACATGGATGCAGCCCTCTGTCCAGCCGGAATCTACCGGCATTGTTGAAATCCCTGCCAACTGGTACATGGAAGATATGACCCCTCTTCAGTTTTGGCCCAATGTCGAGAATTCTCACGGTTTTGTGTCGGTCCAGACGATCGAGAAGATGTGGAAAGACCGCTTTACCTGGCTGTGGAGTCATGGCGCTGACGGAAATGGCCCCAGTGACTTCGTCTTCCCGTTGGTCCTCCATCCCGATACCTCGGGCATGGCACACATAGCAGGAGCTATCGAGGATGTGCTGCTCTGGCTGCAAAGCTGGGGGTCGCAGGTGGAATTTGTCACATACGAGACAGCAGCAAGGTCATATGTGGAGCAAAAGGGTAATAGTGCAAGGTAGATCTTGTCCCTATAACATAATGTCGTACACAAAATAGACTTTCATCGCCGTGCCCACATACTAAATACGATGTATTGCGTGTAAGATTACTGTGCTTTGAATGATGGGCGATCAATTGTGAGGCAGCAGGATTGGTGTCAATTCGAGTTCAAAGAAATTTGAATTTGTAGAACTATGATCCCTTATAGAGTAAGACTTTCCGCTACATCTTCTTCACCTGCTATATCGTGAATATTGTGCTAGGGTTAATCTTCTCAAATCGTACACACAGTCTCTAAAGCTGATGTGTAAACATTGGTAGACTAATAAGTACCTACATTAAGTACCTAGCTGATACACCCTTGATGGAGGCTATACTTAGTTTTTGCAACGCAATGCTGCGTCCATCTCAGTTACGTTGCTTTGATGTTTTCTTGCGGTGACGCGGAAACTTTCCGGCGTAATCTTACGACTACAACTGTCTCAGCCACAAGCTCTTTTGTTTGACAAATTATCACCAACATCAGGAACCGCTTACGCGAGTCTCCGCTCGGAATGCAAAGTCAGCGAACGTTTGGGGCCCATACAACATGCCTGTACTGTCACACCATCTGTTGAAGACATCATCATCGAGGCTGTAATTGACAAAGATGATCCTCATGGCAAGTCAAATCATCTGGAGGAGGAATAGATCGCGCCTACAAGTATTCGTCAGCCACGTTCCTGTTCAAACGAAAATCTATGGATGAGCATCCTACAGAGACACAAACTTCCTCATCACCCTTCCAACCTCTTTTTTACGAGCACCATGGCCAATCTTATCACTTTTCAGATCTTTTCCCGCTACGTCGGCCTATTCGCCTTAGTGCTGACTGTTCCCGTTCTCGCTTTCGTGCTATGGCGGGTGGCGAAATACCGGCATATTCCAGGCCCCTGGCCATGCCGAATTTCCCATCACTATGTTGCAATGTTCGAATTGATTCGTCAACGGCCTCAGGCCATCGCAAAATGGCATCGGAAATATGGCCCTTTCGTGCTTATTGCGCCCGGAGAAGTGTCAATCTCCGACGTTACGGCTATGCGAGACCTTTACAGCAGTTCCAAGAGGAATCCCAAGAGCGATTACTTTGACCACTTCATTTATCACGGAGAGCGGTCCATATTTGCCGAAAAGCCATACGAAGAGCACAAGGCGAAGAGAGGGTTATCTTCGGCGTTCTACCAGGCAACTTCCATCTACAAATCTGAGATACAACAGCCTCTCCGGCAAAAGGCGCTTGGAGTCCGAGAGACACTTGAGAGACATACCAAGTTGGAGCAAATCATCGACGTGTTCCCTGTCATTAACCATTACGCATGGGACAACATCACTGCGTTGGTTTACGGACCAAGGCACTGCTCTCATGCCGTTCAGGGAGACTACACAGATCGCGACATTCTTGCCAGACTCAAGAACACCGAGATGTGGAACTCCCTTAAGTTCAACCTACCTTTCGCCCACAACATGATGGAAAAGGCCGTTTCCATGTACACTGGCTCGTCCAAGTTCCTCTCGGCGGAGCGTGACCTAGATGTCTGGGCCATGCAGCGTCTGGCTTACTCACTCTCGGATCCCAAGTCATCGTCTGATTGGTCGCTTATCCGCCTCATCCAAGACCTTCGACTTGCTGGTCGTGATATCTCTGACGATTACGTGGCATGCGAGGTGATTGATAACCTCCACGCGGCTCAGGCCACCGTCACTGTTGCTTTGACATATGTGGTCTACCACCTGAGCCGGAACCCTGACTGGCAGGCCAAGGTCCGAGCTGAGATCGAGGCGTTACCGCGGGAAGATGACGGTCTCCCGGTCTGGCAGTTACTCGACAAAGCCCCTATTCTAGAAGCATGCATAAGAGAGTCATATCGGATCAACCCAGTTTCTAGTGGGCGAGCCGAACGCGTATTGGCCAAGGGCACCCGATACGGCGATGTTTACATACCCCCATACGTAAGTTGCCGGTTGCGTTCCCGCTGCCGTAGAACCCAAGCCAGTATTCTACACGCCGTTCTAACATTTACCCATGTAAAAATTAGACCGTTGCATCCGCTTCGACCATTGCGTTGCACCTGGACCCGTCAGTCTTTCCCGAGCCTCTGGAATTCAACCCAAGGCGGTGGTTAGACGTCAAGCCTGAAGGCTTGTTAAGACTGGAGCGGTCTTTCATCCCGTTCGGGTATGGTGCCCGTTTGTGCCTGGGCAAAGCATTTGCAACTCTCCAGGTGAAGATGTTGATATCTGCTGTTCTTCTCACGTTCGAGACTGCATTGGATGATCCAAGTCGTATCATGGAACAATGGGGAACACAGGATGCTTTGCCGAAGGGGCTAAACTGTAAACTCCGTTTCCGAAAGAGAAAGGATGTTTCATGAGCAGAGCCGATGTTTAGTCGGATGAACCGGTAGCATCGGAACCTGACAGCTTGTCAAGAGACGGGACGTGGAAAATGGTCCCGGTGGGGGAGTATCGTTGCTTAGTGAGTAGCATAGTACCACAAAAACGAACGGGAATAATCGTAAACGGCTTGACCAAGAAACCTTCTCAAAGTGTCTTGACATTGCATCGCCAGCAGACCACAAAGGATCTGGTTTGAGAGCGTTACGCCTAGTCCTAGCATTATTAAGGAGCTGCTGATCTCGGACACATTGGCTGACTCGCCTTTCCCCAGTAGGGAAAAAACGTGCTTCCTTCGTGGTCTGACAATCAAACGTTCAAACCCTATATGTATTGGCACGCCTAGACCGAGCATGGAGGTGCGGCCGTTTGCACGCTTCGGCGCGGGGAATAATGTCCGCAGTTGATCCCACGCGGAGCACTCCCGTTGCATTTTCCCCGGGATCTCGGCACCGGGGTCACTATGCTGTTGCCAGGATTTGATGCGAGAATCCTTCCCCCTTCCCCTGGAAGCTAGTGGGACTCGCCGGCGGTGTGGATACAAACGCCTCAGCCTCGGTAGCACCGACACTGGCTTGGCGAAAGTTTAAGGTGCAGGAGGATTTCGTCTGACCCAGGTTGTTGAATAGTGTCACGGAAGGACGGGCTTTACTCCATGACGTGCTGCCGATATTCATATTGTTCCTGCCCGCTGCGGCCCGTCATGAGGCCTGTCTGTCCCTGATGTGTCTGATGCGGTTAAGAAATACTTCTGCAGCTTCCTGCAAGTTCAGCGCCTGACTGCATTCCGTACTTTTTAGTCTTTTTTTTCTTTCCTTCTCGCTATACGGACCGAGTGCAGATTGTGCTCTGAGTAGTTTATTTACAGTTGCCGCCACCATGAACACCATGAGCTGCGAGGGTGACATGAGGTCTCTTTTGATGGCCCTAACAGTCAACCCGGCCGAGCGGAGGAGAACACAAAACAGACTGGCAAAGCGAAAGTCCCGTATGCAACCTCAAAACCAACATACCTTACCCTGCCTACACCCTCACTTCACTATCTTTACCCTCACTCCCAGCCCAGCCCAGTCCAGCACATACCACAGCACATGCCATAGCACATGCCACAACACCGTCCGTTATCATCCATCCAATAGAGAAAAAGAAACGTTTAGAAACCAACAATTCGAGCTATTCTAGGAGCAAAGGGAAAGAGTGCCGCAGCAGCCGCCGCAGCAACGAGCCATGTCGCGTCATCATCCACAGCAACATCAGCAACAACGACGAGGAGGTCAAGAAGCGCTTCTTCTTCACCCCCAACGGTCACAGCAAGTGTGCTTACGCGTCTTTACGGTACCATTGTCACGAGAGTCTGTGCTAATTAGATTCTGCAGGACCTCACATACACCGCAGCACTTGCCGATCCGTTCGGTTCACTTCAGACCCCGCCGCATGAGCCGACCCAAGACTTTGGGCAGGCAGCAGTAATTTTCCCTGCTTCGGAAATGGGAGTGTCTGGAGAAGCTGCTCCACGGACGCTGCAACGAAACGCCGTCACTGATGACCTTGACGCGAGCTCATATTCAGCGGGAATCCCCCACAGCTTGAACACTGTCGAGTTCATTGAGCCGTGGACATTAGACGCCAGCATGACACTCATGACACCAAACAGCAGACACGAAGACATGTCCGACCTTTCAACAGAAGATATCCTTACATTAGGGGTAAGTTGTATAACTCACTTCATCCTACCCTCATTTTCCTCAGAGCACAGATGAGGATTTCTTATATAAATACTCATCCGGAATCTCTCACATTTCATTTTTCTGCCCCGAATCTCAGCGTCCATCAAAAATTCCATCACTTCACATCTCCATTTGCTGACAATACGGGGAAAGTTTTCGAGACCAACTCAAGGAAGCCCTTTGCATATTGCGGCAACACACGGCCACATCAACGTGGCTAAAACGCTGATCCTCCACGGTTCGGATGTCAATGCCGCGGATAAAGCTGGGCTGGCCCCGATTCACTACGCGACACAAAACAATCAGGGTCCCATGGTGACCATGCTTGCGGAGCATGGAGCTGACGTCGACTTCTTGGACCCGGACGGTTGCACGCCTCTCTACAGAGCGGCGGAAAGTGGGAACAAAGCAATGGTTGAGCGTTTATTGCGACACGGAGCGAAGCTGAGCTAGGAGTGTAACAGAAACGGAAACAAACGACTCTGGCACGGAGTTAGAGTAGCATGGGAAACGGAGGAGTCTTGTTAAATTGGGTGGCTATCTAAGTTTACTGGTGTAGAATAGGCCTGTTATCAAACATGTTCACAAATCAAGGCCATTCTATACGTGTTACTCAACCCACTTCTCGTGTGGTTCTGAATTGCATGGTGACCCATGTGTGCTAAAAATCTGGGTCATTCTGATGTCTGTGCTCTTCGGTCAGCCTCAACCGTATCTTGGACGTTACACACGCCCAGGTCACCAGAAAGACCAGACATCGAAGTCATGTTTAACTTTGTCTGCCCATGTAGAGAAGCTCGTATTGTGGAGCAAAGCATGCCGTGGACCCGTCTTAGTTCTCACGAGTAATTTAGGAGACGTGCGATTTCAGTATCTTAGCCAAGCAAGCAGCGCCAAAGTATCAAATCAGCACATGGGAATCTTCGCATGGACATCTAGCCCAGCTCGGTAGATACACGGACTCCGGATGAACGTAGGAAACGGTTGATGTCTTTCGATCATTCGAAGTTGCTGAGCTTAGAGAGCAACTTGCTGAACAGAGGAGGGCGCCCGAAGACGGAGCTTCTCTGTGGGGCCGGCCGCCGCAACATCGGAGCCAGATTGTTTTCATCCCCCTGCAGCCATGGCTTTTCAAACATGCTGACGATGCAGCGTCTGTCACAACAACGTGTCTGGTTAGCATGCGACTGTAATAGAACACTTTTGAATTATGAGAGGGAGTGAAGTCACGTACACATATCCGTAGACGTTGAGATGAACGAGGTATTCAGACGCTGCACAGACGCCCGCACGGATGGATCATGAGATGACTATGCGTCCAATCTGACCTTCGCTTTTCCAGCTGACGAGACATTCCCAGCGCCATGTGAATGGCAGAAGGAAGAAAACCAAATCAACAGTATTTTGGATTCAACTTCGAAGTTCCTGATAGTCCTATAGTATTTATTAAAGAAGCTCTGGGCCGGATTTGTGTCTTGGGCATCCATTCTACCGGCAAAGTAACACTTTTGCAACATTCAATCGAAGACTGCGCATTGTTAATTGCTGAATACTTCACACAAGCATGGCGGAACAGAGCTTCAACGAGCAGCTTCTGCAGCTGCTGGCTGCTACACGAGATCTCCACTTGAAAGACGAGCGTACACCTAACGGTGGTAAGTGTCCAAATGTCCATATCCCCTGTTCATCGCTAGACAGAACTGATGCCCAGATTAGGATCGTCGGATGTAGAGACCGAAAGCTCCGAGCACCCTCTGGTTGTTCTTTCTGCCCTGGCAGCTAGACTGCAGCGAGATGGCAAGGAGAAAGAGGCGAAAACAATTCTGCAGGTCGTTAGCATCGCCACGGCGTCCCCCGACTACGGCGGCATGGGCTTGACCTGGAACGGGGAGTTAAGCGCAACGGACCGCAGCGAGTTGATTCTGCTCACATCAGCATGTAAGCATACTTTCTTTCCTCTGCTGTGCCGCGAGCTACTGGTCCACCCCTGATTTTGCCGCACTTATTGGATGAGAACTGATCATAATCTTCATCAGGGCTCGAGAGTCTGAATTCCAGCGATCGACGGGGGGGACCGATCGTTCCCCTGGTGAGCCGGCCTGCCGGCCGTCGCCCCATGAATGTTACAGAAAAGATATTCGCGCTGCATGACGTGACTCGCACAGGATGGGTCCGAACTGGGGACACAATTAGAGTTTCTGTCGACTGGATCATGGCTAGTGAGGCTAGCTGGCATGTATGTTTACACTTTACCCTGACCTTCAAAACCCCCACAGGCCCAGACGGCTTGCTGACGCTGAACTAGGGCATGCTTCAAGTGTACAACAAGCTGGGAGATCCCGGAATCTTTTCGAATTCCAACTTCTGGCTGGCCGGCGATCATGTGGTTGATCCAAGGCTGATGGATACACCCCTTGTACAGAAGCTGGTCGGCGAAATGGACTTTGCTCGTAAGAAGTTCAAGATGACACAGTTCCAGGGCAACAACTACACCATCATGCACACCGAGTTCTACCGTGAGCGGGCCCAGCCAGGTCAAATCATCATTGGTTCGGATTCGCACACGTGTAGCTCTGGGGCCGACGGTTGTCTTGCGATTGGACTGGGTGCAACCGAGGTCACAATGGCTCTCGTCACTGGTGAGATCTGGTTCAAAGTTCCTGAGGTCGTCGAGATCCACCTAGTGGGTAAGCCCCAGCGCGGAGTCGGAGGTAAAGACATTATCCTCTATATTCTGCAGCAACTTAAACGCAATACGGTGGCTGCGGATCGGGTTGTTGAGTATACAGGCCCCGGGTGCCGATGGTTGAGCTCCGACGCCCGCTTTGCCATTGCAAACATGACTACCGTAAGCAGCTGCCTTTGCTTTTACCCTTTTTGATCTCACCGATTCGATTCCTGTTTATCCCGCCGGCACAGCATACACACTCTTGGCACTTTGCACTAAGTTTCAGGGTTGGCTAACCTCAAAAGCAGGAGTTTGGTGGTATCACAGGGATATTTGTTCCCGACGAAGTCACCAAAGACTTTATCGATGCCCGTAAAACAGCCCATCACAGGACCGCATCGTACTACTTCAAGCCCGATGAAGGATGCTCCTATGCGGAGTCACATACTATCGACGTCTCTCTGGTCGAGCCTTTTGTGGCCAAGTACCCGAGCCCCGACGATGTAGTGCCAGTGTCCGATGTGGCAGGTACTCACCTCGATGGCGTCTTCATCGGCGCTTGCACAACAGCGGAGGAGGATCTTGTCATGGGCGCGCTCGTGCTGCAGGCTGGCCTGGACGCGGGAAGGAAGCCGGTGGCCCGGGGAGAGCGCCGCGTCGTCCCCGGTAGCCGCCCCATCGCCGACTACCTTCGAAAGACAGGCCTCGCAGACATTTACGAGAGAGCGGGCTTCATCATTGGCATCCCTGGATGCAGCTACTGTGTTGGTATGGGCGCTGACATGGCCAAACCTGGGGAAGTCTGGCTTAGCAGTCAGAATCGCAATTTCGAGAACCGTATGGGCAAGGGTAAGTCTCGTGGAATATACTCACGATCGTTCTTATTTCCCTGTCTATCCCTTTTGGGCCAAAACTGCCCGCAGGTGTGCCCCATTTCCAGGTGGATCCGCGAGCAGTTGTGTGATATTGCACAAGAGACCCCTCTTAAGACCCTCTCGAGACCCAAACTCAGCTGACAACGAATGCAACGTTGGGCAAATGTAAACTAACAAATGGCTTGACAGGGGCTATCGGCAGTTTGGCGTCCGCTGCAACGGTGGCTGCGTCGTCTTTCGACATGGCTGTCACTTCTCCACAAGATCTTATTGACCTCATCCCAGCGGATCGATGGGCCGCCGTCAAGGGTAAAGGATCCCTTGCCGACGGTATCCTCAGCCAACCGCAATGGGTGGAGCCGCCAGGCCAAGACGCCGAAGAGGATGCGAACAACATCGCGGAGGATCAGGGACCCAGCCCGTCCGGTGAGGACGAGGCGGCCGACCAGGCTAAGCCCGGCTCCGGGACCATTAGGAGTAAGATCTTCCGTCTAGGAGATTTTGTTGACACCGATGCGGTAAGCCACCTTTCCCTTGCTTTGCCTCTGATTCGTGAATTGCACATGAAATCAGCAAAAGAGGCGCAGAAGAAACATTGTTCTAACGGGCCGTCCCGCAAATAGCTTGCGCCGGCACAATACCTTCTCACATCCAAGAACAACGAGGAGCTCGGTACTCATTGCCTTGAGTTCACCAACCCGGAATTCCGGCAACTCGTTAAGGAAGGTCATAAAGTCATTGTTGCTGGCGATGCGTTTGGCTGTGGATCTAGTCGTCAAGAGGCTGTGCAAGCTTTACTAGGTGCGTCGGAGTCTCATTCCCTCAATCCTTTGCATGTTCCTTTGCCCATCATATGCCCCCTCGCTCTCGGTGATTCTTACGGCCGCACTGTCCGTCAATGAGTTCGTCCGCCGGCGTCAATGATTCCCCGAAGTGATCATCATCATCATCACTACCACCATCATCATCATCCTTCATTCCTTCGTTTCGTTCCTTCGTTCGTAATGGTGGGCTGACCTGACATTACTCTATGTAGGCGTCGGTGTCGAATGTGTCATTGCGAAGGCATTCGCATTCATTTACAGCCGAAACCAGCCGTCCTTGGGTCTGTGGGGCTTCACCATCGACGATCCCTTGTTTTACGAGAAGGCGCAGACAGGAACCAACATTGAGATCGACCTGGATCGCAACGTGCTGACTGTCGACGGCGAGACATTCGAATTTCAGTTGTCCGTGCTCGAGAAGAAGTTGACCAAGATGGGGGGCATGACGAATGCCTTCAACCAATTTGGCAAACGCATCTACGACGTCTTGACAGGTCGCAAAGCCTCACAGGGCGGTGTCGCAAAGGAACTCAAGGCTAAACCTGCCCAAGATGTCATGGCATGGTGAGCATGCACATGTGGGTTCTACGGATGGTGGAGGGGCCGGTGGAGGGGCGTGGATTTATGCAGGGTCTTGACCCGGGATTCAGCAGGGCATGGAGTTGAACAGGTCGTGCCATACCTAGTGTGCGGAGTATGTACGGATAGGAGTACGACGGAGTAATAGATTGTCGCCGTATACCGTACGGATATTAGTGTAGCCTCTCGCGCGAGCGCGCGCTACGCCTTCGGTGACTGTCAATGATTCCGGTGTTTGTGTGCTGGCAGCTTGGCATTGAAAGCCCCATCCTGAATATTGTGTTCAGCAGTTTCCATGTAGGTTTGGGCGCGACTATTGACATTGGACAGCGATGACCTCGGTGTAGAAACCCTGGAAGGCTAATTTTGGGGTCCAGGTCCATACCCAAAAGACCCTTACACCATCTTTGGTCAGCAGCGGCTGCAGACTGCATCAGTAAGAGCCAGGCACCCAGGGCAGACCTCAAAGGCCTAGAATGGCTGTTGCTAGGGTTCAGACGGGGAAGC